CACACATGTTTACAATGGTGTGTGCCAAAGATGGTGTGAAACTGTGGCTTCGTTTTTTTCTCCAGAATGCCGTGGTTGTCTTAACTTGCCTTAACATGAGGAAATGTCCACACTACTACATCGTCTGCATACACTACAGACACAGATACAGCCTAGGATTGAGGTGTTCTAAAAGTCTTTTTTCCAAGTACACCAAGTACAGTAGGGGCATCGTCACTATAGTTTTGAACAATTTTTAGACTTAGAGGTTCACAGGCTATGTGTAACAAGTCATTCGGTGTAATGTAGCCAGCTGCCGGCGCGCCGCGTGCCTGCGAAGCTGGTGTGTTACGCCGAAGGGCAGTTTTACCGGCTATACAGATATAAAATAGATCACAGGCAAGACTCCGCCAGGACCTGTGACACAGCCACCTCGGTAAACACAGCTAGCGGTATGTGACCAAACATCCTGTTCAAGAGGAGGTCAACAACCTCGACCAACAGCATTTTTCTTGGCGCCGCAAAACTTTACAGTGCAAACACTATATATTTGGTAGGCTGACTATTTTAATAGAAAGTTTATTGCAAATTCATGCCCGAAGGCTAATTGCATGAACAGAAGAAACATTTGTATAAAAACAGATAATTAATACACATAGAACTACTGATAACTATTAAGAAACTACTACTGGTACCTTTTTTTACGCCAGCCGCTGGTGGCAAAAGGTAACTGTCCGGCAAATGGGTACTGTCTGGCCAATTTGATACTGTCTTTGCAGCCACCGAAAGATCTGCTGGGTGATTGTTGCCTTCTGCTTACGTTGTGCTACAGTATAATCTTAGCTGAAACGTGATCATTAGATATCACGAAAACCTTTATATTTGGTCAGAGTACCTTTAAAGTCAGACTGATTATAAAAATTAGTCCCTCTCATCCTACACTAGAAAATGCGGCCATTTTTATACATTTAGTCAATGGACGGTTTAATTTTGAAAGTGACAACCCTGGATTCACTTTGAGACCGAAAAAGCAGTATCCGAGAATTACAAAACTAAATATTACGATGTTTTACGTAACAAGCTATTCAAACATGTTTTAATTGATACTTTTGAGCTGACGAAATTATGAAACAAGTGTTGTGTCCTCTTACTCTCCAAGCAGAGGTTAAAAGCTTTGGCTTATTTTTGGCGTGTTTGGGGGCATTTTTATAGGGCCCTCTTTTTTGTACTGGTACCTTTTTTTACGCCAGCCGCTGGTGGCAAAAGGTAACTGTCCGGCAAATGGGTACTGTCTGGCCAATTTGATACTGTCTTTGCAGCCACCGAAAGATCTGCTGGGTGATTGTTGCCTTCTGCTTACGTTGTGCTACAGTATAATCTTAGCTGAAACGTGATCATTAGATATCACGAAAACCTTTATATTTGGTCAGAGTACCTTTAAAGTCAGACTGATTATAAAAATTAGTCCCTCTCATCCTACACTAGAAAATGCGGCCATTTTTATACATTTAGTCAATGGACGGTTTAATTTTGAAAGTGACAACCCTGGATTCACTTTGAGACCGAAAAAGCAGTATCCGAGAATTACAAAACTAAATATTACGATGTTTTACGTAACAAGCTATTCACATTTCTGGAATCAAGTACGACAGATTTCAGGAGACTCGATGTTACAGACAGATTTCAATATATCTTAAAATGCAATAACTCCCACAATGCAAAAATAGGTAAATATTTAAAAGACTGCTTTGTTATTAGAAAAAATACCGAAACTCATAATTAGCCCCACTTGAGTGTACGTTATATTAGCCCTTGTTGTCTTAGTATTCAGGATGTTTTATTCTATACTTTTTTTGTACTAGTTGTTGCCATATTTTGTACAATGTACAATTGTCGTGCGGTAAAGTTCTTCTATCTTACCTTCTACATGCGGTGTTGTCTGAACGAATAAACCTATTCCGGTAAATTTTCTCCTAAACCATGTGAGATATTGAGACATTTCCACAACCTTAGCTATTAATCAACATAACGTACTATGGGGATATCAGTCATTTGCTGCTACAAGACGATTGTTACAGAGTAGAATGACATAACACGTAAAGTTGCCCATTGCGTAAAACAGGCTTTCTCTTTTCCTTAGTTACAAGTACTATGTGTAGAAGAAATGCACAGTAAGCAGCTGGGTGATAGCGTTCGTTGCATAAATGATCTGTTACGGAAAAGGGAAAATGATATAACAAGCTTTTATAACGTTACATTCCACTCTTCACCGGCAGATGACACGCGGGTCCACCCGGGTTACAACACAATGTTTTAAAAGCACTTTCCGGACATACCAGCATCAAATAAACATTACTGAGCCGCGGGGGGCACATGTTTTGTTATCAGAAAAAAATGCCGAAACTCATGATTAGCCCTACTTGATTGCATATTAGCACTTGATGTTTAGTAATTAGGATGTTAAGTTTCATTTTATACCCTTTATTTTTTTTGTACTATGTTCAATAGTCGTTTCCATACATTGCACCATGTACAATTGTGCAATAAAGTTTTTCTGTGTGGCTCACGCGCAACTTTAAACCAATAGCAAAAAAGATAACGATAAAAGATCCAAAAAGCAAGTTACTGAAAGAAGGTCAACGGTCCTTGCAACATTATATTCAGATCAATGATACTTGATGAGTTGGAAGAAAATATTATCGTCTTTTTTGTTGTTGTTTTCTGGTCACCGGGAGAACAGTTGGTTGTCAGGGAGCGTTCAAGATAAATGACCTGGAGCAATCTTGTCGGAAGTGGTATCTACATGAAAAGAACAGTCCCTGCAATACGTTATCACTGTAATTACTGACAACATCTATCATGTGTGGTGCGTTGGCAACGGTAACATCGTATGCCTGCAGTGACAGCCGACACACAAGCAAGCCAAGGTGGAGCTAACTTCTGAAGCAGATCCGGTTCCATTGATGCTAACACTGGCCAAATACAAAAAATGCAATAGTTACGAAATCATAGTTGTTATGATGTTCCAGCAAAAAAATTGTAGTATCTCTACAACAAATGCCGATCTGGTAATCCTCAGATTAGATGCGGTAAAAATCAGCACACTCGAGGATTAAATCCCCCTTCCAGTAGTTTATATTGTGCATACCCTACTATCTAAGACCCAGTTTGATTCTCGTTAACTCACTGTACATTTGCAGACACATTATGTAGACTTCATCAATTGGTAGTACAGTATTACCCACACAAAGGTAACGATGTGACTAGGACGTCTTTTCGCTCCAGATAATCCCAGAGTAATTTACTAAGACCCTAATGAGGAAAGGGGGAGTCAACCCAACAAGGGTGGGCACACAAAGGGTGGACAAATGAGCGTGTTTATCAACTTCTGCTGTCATTTGTCAGATCTGCTTTGATGATATTCTCATTAGGCCCTAATTTGTTCCGTGCCTTCGGGGTACGTAGACCCATTCATCAACAAGCGCTACTATTAGCTATTTTTATTATAACTTATTATCACGAGTAACCACAACACCATTACCAGCAAACTAGTAAAAGTTGAACGAAAAATTACTAAGACTTTTATATATTTTTGTTGAAAGCAAATCGTCGTTGCCACCATGTCTCGGCAAGCAACAAGGAAAACCAACTCAGTACATGGACTTGGTTAATGTGTTACATCTTACATGATGCAACATACTTAAAAAAACCTTATAAGCTTCAACCTGCCAACTAGTACTAGTTAATTTGAAATTGCTTAAGGAGCCGGAACACGCAAAAGAACAAAGAATTAAAGAATATGCAAATCATACCAAAATGACCTCCAACAAAGTTACTTGTATACAAATGTATTAAAGTCACCACTAGAAATCGATTAGTTTGTCGTATGTCAGCGGTATTTCTAATGCCCGCTTGTTATAGAATATCACTCAATCAGCAGTGTTCAAGGATGTTGACGCCGCTAAAGGTCCAGAACTTTCCACGGGATTACATCACGCTCTGGGCCTCCCTGCCCCAAATTGCGACTGTCGAAGACTTAACCTCAACTATGCGCCGTATAATACATGAAAAAGATGGAAAACTTTGCATCTTTTACCACAAACTATCCATCTTCTAAACGAATTAAGAAGGACTTAGGAAAAAGCACAACGTTTCTTCCGTTCAACAACAATCTAATAACTAGGGACATCGCGAACCTTAAAGTCAAACCGGACATATGAAAATAGATAGCACCACAAGGGACTATCAAAAGTATTTCACAACTAGTTGATAGTTTTGTGAAAGTATGAACTGCTTAGTATATAGGAACTGCAGATTTCTATGATTATAAAAGTTTACTCAGATGAATCAAGAAAATGAGACAATTGCTATGTTGCTAGAGAGACGAAGACCTGGGCCTGGCATTAGCGAATGTGTTATTCGCCCGCTAATTATGCCTTGGCAAATAGTACATACCAGAAACGTAAAGCTTTGTTATCTATACCTACCAACATAGGCAGGTTGGAATGGTGGGCGAGTCGATATGTTTCGTCGCTGCATAGAAACCAAGGAAAACACCCTCATGTTCTAGATTATCGTCTTTGGATAGATGACGAGCCCCGATTGTTTCCTTGCCTACAGGAAAACTTTTGGGAGAGCCAAATTCCTTGAACAGGAGAATAAAACTGACATGATTTTACATTCTACTAGTTCAATGTGGATATATTGAGTCGTCTTATGTAAGTTGTATTACATAGGAAGGCTTAGCCACTGAGAGGGCCACCCTGGCTAAAGAAAACAGAATTAAGAAAAAAAAGGTTTCGTAAGTCCTGTTCAACAGGTTTATGAAACATCCTACTGCGTCATGCTGACACGCGATGACAGCGTCGCTATGTGTTGCTCAAACGTTTGACCGGACTTTGCGCGCCCGTATTGGTCCAGACGTCGAGCGGGGCTCTGTGATTGGTGTGGGCAATCTGTGTACCTGGTCACTGATAAATGATGGCCTTTGTTCGGGTATAAAAGGGCGATGAGAGGTGAGAACCAGCGACCGGAGGACTGAAACAGCTTTGATTACAGATCGTCAAAGGATCTGTAGCTAAACAGCTGCAGACAGTACCATCCTCACCAGATCCTCTTTCAAAGATCAAGGAACGATTCAAGAGGACCTGGACATTACCAAACTATCTGCACAAAGTGCAAGAATGGGGCTAACTAAAGCCCAACTATGGACTTGCCTCGCCCTTCTCTGCCTCTGCGGGACCAACGCAGGGTAAGGAACCTTTCTGGAGAGTTGTACTACTGCTTGAGCGGCAATGCGACGAAGAGTATCTTCAAAACGTTTTCGTCAAATTCTGCCTTAGTCGGAGATCTGCAAGATCGTAGACGGGGAAAATGGAGCCTACTGCCCCTCTAGAAAGCCTAGTGGACTGCAGCGCTATTTCGGCACCGTGCTTTGCTTCCGTAGTTGGTAGTTTTGCAGCTATGTAGTGTGTGCTAGTTCCCCGCTGAAAGGTAGGATCAAACTTTTGACATTTCTGGCGCTGCCCGACTCTGGCTATCTGTAGAGCCTACTGTGCTGGTCATTCTTTCCTCGCGTCCAGTCGGATGACTGGACAATGCATGGGATTGGTTTTGTTAGATTCTATTTAATTGCTATCGGAATTCTGAAAATGTCTCATTCAAATGGAGTCATTGCGGGATCCAATATCGATACCTACAGCGCAGAACAGACGTAGTATTTGTACGAAACGATAATGGCTTTGACAATGACTTTAAAACAGCGAAAATTATTGTGCGCAAGAAAATGTCGAGTCATAAGAAAATCAAAGACGTAAGAATTTTGTTTATTTTGCAGGAGGCAGCAGAGGTCGGCGATGGAGATTCGTAAGTATCTTTTTCTCAATTCTTAAGAACGTATCGCGTTACTGTGTGCGGACATTTTTAACTTAAAGCTACTGATTCCTCAAATTATACCGTTGTTGCTTTCTAAAAATCAAAATTGCTGTTCCCTGACCGTTCTGATACATTAATATTTTTCCTCAGAGATAGAAAAGTTCAAAATATTTCTAAAAAGACGGAAAAAGCTTGCTTAATTTTTATGTAAAAGTATCTAAATGGAGCCCATGGACAACAAAGTTTACGAAATCTATCCTAGAAACGTTCTCGATTCACAGGAACGCTTTGTAGCGTTTCATTTTTTTTGGATTCTATAAATCGATCAAACATGAGAGCGTCGAGACTTTTCTAAAATGTTTATACAAAGTATAAACCGCAGTGGCCTTCTGTACGACGTCTTGTCATTGTGTTCCGGAAGAATGACGCACGGCGTATCCTTAAACTCATTTTAGATGTCAGTTCAGGCTTGCATAGCGTTTGACTGAAAACACCTATTGACTTGTTAGTTCTGTGATATGACTCTCCTTGCAAGGCAACGGAGAACATTCTAGTCAGGCTGAACAAAAGTTTCTTTGCATAACGTAGCGGGAACGTCCAAGGAGACAGTTACAGGCAACAGGTCATGAACCAGCTCCGAACACTTCTCAAACATTCGTGACGCTCTCTTTGTATTAAAATGTACGAATCAATGCCGTCGTCTTTGCTTGAAACACATTATTGAATTTGATTGAAACGCCCCCTTTGTTGTTCTTTTTTTATTTCTGGTGCTCCATGCATCCTGGCGCAAATTCAAACTATCGTTCAAAATTGTTTATGCATTTGAGAAGCCAATAGATTCCACGTTCACAGACAAAAAAGAAAACGACTCTCCTCTTAACATCACAAAACGCACACTACAGAAAAAGTGGGATCATTCGTCTTCTGCTGCCTGGGAAAAGAAGTCAAACCAAATACGTTGGAATTTAGTGTCAAAATTTGACTACAATTTACAAATATCAAATTGTTCTCCGTTGTCCATCTTTTTTTATTTTCATGTTACACGTACCTGCGAAATCCGGGCAAGAACTTTTTACACAATTCAACTTTCGTGAATCGTGGTGATTTGCTCTTGAATGTATCATGACTATAAACTAAAGCAGATGACATTAAACCTATCATATACCCATCTGCTGCTATTTCAAACCATATACTAACTTCGTCTCTCTCTCTTTCTTACAGCCCACGGACAACAAGAAGATGTTAGACAAACCCGTGAGTAACCACCATTGCCTTCTACACCTCACCCTGGACAGGCCAGCCCTCTGGCGGCAAATAGTTTGGCAATCATTTATTTGCTCACTAGTAAGCGTGTGACAATTGTATTGTCCGTGTCGACCAAGCTATTATAGGGTAGGTTAACACTTGGGGAGTGGCCGCGAGACAGTACATTTGAAAGAAACAGCTGAATGCAAAGTTAAACAAAGTTAGAGACGACATTATTGACGAGTTGGATTAAGTATTATGTTCTGACGCCCACTCGAGTGGCGGGCGGATGCCATCACTTGCTTTAGTAGATATGCCGAGGTCATTCTAAGTACAAACTTGATTCGCAGCAAAAGTACCTTAGAAAGTCTTTTTTTCATCAAAATTCGTAAACTCTGGTACAAAGCAAAAACTTTTTTCCAAGCTGTAGGTTTACGTGAGACTGTATCTTACATACATCGTTGCTTTGGTAAGGCTGTCTGACGCGACGTTACACACGTGTATCTCGTCATGCTTGCGGCAAGGTTACCGTCCTTTGGCAACGACCATCTGGTCAACTGGCCATCTCTTATCGCAGGGTTCAAGGCCGTGTGATATTTTCGGGACCGGATCAGGGCAGATATCATAAACATCACTGTTTGAACAGTCCATATAGACTGATCAGCGCACCATTCCGATATAGACCTAGATAAAGTTAGACAATTATCCCCGATAAACACACTTGATGCCCACTTCAGAATAGACCAGGTTAGGGGCTAAAATCCGGGTGTATCAGTTAGCCGAGGCATGTTTAGAGTTTAAAAGACTCCCCATGGTAACATCGCAAACACGCTTTGGTCAGAAACGACCAAGTCAACACTTTTGATGCTGGTAAATGTGTTTGCTTGCCCTTTCCCCGTGTGGGTCCTGTAGACTGTTTACCGTGGGTATCGATTTTTCTGGCCAAAACTTTGATAAAATTCCACGGCCCTCGCAGCGCGCGCCGAAATCCGTGTATGCGATTGGCAAGTTTGCACAAATGGCCGACATAAACCACGGTTTCCATGGAAACGCAGTGCGTCATCGCCTCCTCCGCTGTTGACTTAAGTCAAAAGTCATTTGCAGTTTACACGGATGTTGGGCTGGTCGCACTCGGAGGCTAGGTGGTTAAGTAAAGGCACGCCGGGCACAACTTTGGCGACAGTCTTGTATAATCAGCAGTCTTACTATGACTGAAAACATAATAATACTACAGCAAAAAATGAGGAGGGGCCTCTAGTGTGGGGCAGTATGACAACAAACAGTTTACACGGATGTTGGGCTGGTCGCACTCGGAGGCGTTGACTAAAGGCACGCCGGGCACAACTTTGGCGGCACCAGTCTTGTATAATCAGCAGTCTTTCTCTACCTAAAAAAACACGATACTACTCTTTCGGACGGATGTATAGCAAAAGAATGAGGAGGGGCAAAATGACAACAACCAGCTTCGTCACATTGCAGGACAGTCCCTACTACTACTGCTACTTAATGAATATCTTACCAGTAACACAAGAGTTGACATGAGAGCAGCCAGGCAATCTCAATCAGTGACCAGCCTTCTAAAACCATCTGACAGAAAGGGAAAATTGCCTTTGCATATTTGTTTCATTCAAGTAGCTTCCGTTATATGCTAGTCCAAGAGAGAATTCATAAACTTACTCATATCTTCCCAGTAACGAAAGGGTTGACATGAGAAAATTAACACAGCAAGGCAATCCCGACCAGCTCGTTAAAACCATCTGATGGAGAGAGAAATACGGCCATAAAGCCTTTGATTCTGATTTCATTGACTAGAGTGAACACGATTGCTAAACAGTGAGACAACGGGAGCATAAAAGACTCTGATAAGAGTAACACCCACGAAAGATAACCCGCAGCTGCTACACATTGCACTCTGAACAGTCGGATTGTTTTCCTGATAAAAGATGCCGTAATAGGTGAGCCATTGAAAATACCCAGCTCTCCTCCTTCTCAATTAGTATTAAAAACACCGAGGTATTTACTGTACAAACGCGGCAGGAAGAAAAAGTTGCGATAATTCAGATTGCTGGTGAACAAAGTTGACTCAAGTGGTACACCACTTGAGAATGTTTGCGATGTCACTTTGGTGAAGGTATCTTTGGTGCATTTATTATGGCTGGAATCCGGCTTAATCATTCCTGTACCACGTGCAGTGTTTTAAACCTTTGAACGCAGCTAGGACACTTGACTAGAGTGTTTATTAGACCCCTGGTCACATCTGTGGTATTCTATAATTACTACATCTTCTTCCAAACAATCGTTAGTACTGTTCTTCCCGTAATCTCAGCATTAACACCTTGAGAGAGCCGACAAGCTAACTTTTAAGCCCAAGATTCTATTGATGCCTCACGCACATAATCCAACAGTAAGAATAAAAAATATGTACAGTGCCATGAATAGAGGCCCTTGAACTTGATAGTTAATATATTCACTAAGTCTAAGTTCAAATAACACTCCAGCACCTTCCTTTAATAAGGTGTATAATCTTGAATATCAATACAAACTTGCAAACGTGCGTCTAGTCAGAAAGTCCTTGCGCAACATTGAGCAATTAGCAAACAGTGCTTTTGGACTTCAGTCACTTTGCGCAGGGTCATTGGAAAAAAAGGTAAACACATGGAGTGTGTGCAGTACAAATTCTAATATAGAGCCCGCATACAAGTCAATATTGAAGCTTGGCTCGGTAATGCTTGATTTAATTATAAACCCTCCAAAGGTACTGGGCAACAACGTCAGTGTTTTACTGCAAAAAAGTATGTAGGCCCCTGAACAAAGACAGGGAGAAAATACTTGACTAGAATTAGATACTCAGCAGTAGCTGACAATCACCAATGAGATACATTGTACATCATCGCAGCTAAACATTATGGTCTACTACATGATAAATGGCTTTCGGCTGTCACCGTTGTTTCTCAATCATGTGTGTGCGGCGTCGTAGTCAGACAGGATCTATAGCAGGTGTTGTTGAAAATTAATAGGTTCCGTCAACATGAATCAATTAGTCCAAATTTAGGACGACAAGCAGGATGTTTATACGTTAGTCAGCAAAGGTGCGGTGGTATGACTAATCAATGATCAAGTAAGGAAAGTTGGCTTGATCTAACCGGCATGTCCTTTCACCAACAAGAAGCAGTAAGAAGATGTGAACATCGTCATTGGCTTAGTCTTCAATAGAATGGCAACATTGTCTGAAATCTTTTTTACGGGTTAAAAAGCACAAAACCTGTAGCTGTGACAACTGTGATTGAATCTTTTGATACATTGCATAAAGTCTTCTTAGTGAAATCCTCAAACCCATCACACACTGTATGCCTGAATACCGACTAAAACTGATTATGTTACCATGCGCTACTACATGGGAATTGTCCTTCTAAAGATAGGCAGCAACTTTAAAGGCATCCAGTGCAATCGCAGGGCGGCAAATCTGGATTTTCAAAATCAATTTTCTGGTCATTCTTTTAGTGTAGTAAGTTAAATCAACCCTATCCCATACCATACTGATATCTGTGAGGCAAAAATGCGATGTCGCTGACGAAAAACGGTTGCTTGTTTTGCATAAGCTAGTTCTTGCTATTTATGGGTGGCACCAAAAATAAAGAGACGCCTCTTGTAGCTTGTTTTATGACTATTTGAAACGCTTTAAGTATGAAATAATGACGAAAATGTGCTAAGGAATGGCAGTAAATGTCAATATCAGACATATTTCCCCATTCAGAATAGCTTGTGCCGCCCTAAAAATTGTATGGGATATCTCTTTATGATGTACGTGATTCAGGTAGGCGTGAATACTCAGGATCCGCCCACTTAGAGACTAATAACGCGTGCACGGTTGCACGGTCATGTACATGTGTAGACATACAGTTTACCCTCAAACCTCTTCGTGGTCCGAATTGCATCAGGACCATGTATGAGTCAACAACCAGTCTTTGTGAAAGACGACAATAAAGTTTTCTTCATTTTCTACCAATCTTGTTCATGGGTCAGATCTTGGCAGGTTAATCTCTCTACCAGCATGTCATGTCAATTGGGCCTTTTATTTCGCACATTCCATAGCGGAAAGGTGGTGGACTGGGTGATATCACTTAGGTGCACACACTGCCCTTTTCGAGTTACTCATTCGCCAACTCCGTGACATGTTGTTTGAAAGATCAGATCGTGCAACAATGAGGACGTGCCAGGTTGTGGGCTCACAAATATTGAACTATTCTATTGGGAAAACAGCATAACTAATGTATTGACTTGTTCCCTTGCCTCATTCTTCACAAGCTGTATGCAAATGATGTCTCTCCAAAAGACCTTCACCGTCTTCACGCGGTTAATGTATATTATTATTGCGATACGCTGTATTTGCATATCATTAACAATATTTGTTTTCTTTCTCGGCGGGGGACAATTGGAGAATGTAATTTGTTTGGTTAAGATGTCGCCCGATGTGTTTACACCAAGTTAACCCTTAAGAAAATCTCGAAGTCCATTTTAATCCTTGATGGGCAGTTCGTGCAGATAGTAACAATGTGTAAGCATTAAGAATAAGGTGAAGTGGTCTGAGCTTTTATCAACATATTTCCTTAAATCCAAGTTCAGTGCAGCAATTGTTTGGGTTCAGCAAAATCGACAATGTCTCGCCGTCAGCGTAAGAATATTAATAAGAGGAACGGTCTTGTACAGTTCGGTATGATAATCCTTGCCCCCTACCTTGTAACAAAACCACCAAAAACCACACACCTGTGCACTTGTGATACAATTGTTCTATTTTTGGTCTATGTTACTATTTTTAATCAAGTACAGTCAGCAGAAATATATTTGCAGTACCCTTTGTCAAAGAAATATATGATAGATGCTTCTTAAAAGTCATTTTAGGATAAGTAAAAGTATTCTTATCGCTCTCAAACAAGACTCTTCGGTTGCTTGTCAACCAAGAATAACAGGAAAGCACAAGACAACCGTTTGTCTTCACCTCAATTACAGATCAATTCATAGTTTTTGTATGAATACCTGTTCAACTACAGATCCGCTTAGTGCATGCTACATGAAACGTCTAAATCTGTTTTCTGTTTTCAACTTCTATCAACAATCCAGTAGTTACTTCAGTAACTGTCTTCTTGTGCCTAACCTTCATCGGAATAACTGGAAAGTTTAACCATTTTTATAGTGGAAGTTCAGCGTTTACTAGCTCGTCACTTAACAACTATAATATGAATAAATACTTCAACTTTGAAGTTGGAAAAAATAGGGTGCAATACTGGTGTAGTCGCTAGAAGCCGCTGATGCAAGGCATTACGTAACGCGCGGGGCATCCCTTGGGAACACCCCCAAAACATTCTAGGAATTTCGAAACGTTCCACTTCGGGGGAGGGGGTCAGTATTGGAATGGAAATTGCTACGTATTCTCACCTGCGACTTGACAATGTTGTCATTGTCAACTCACGAACTTTCATCGTTCTTTTCACGACAAATAGCAAACTTGGTTATGTGTACTGCTGTTGACTGCTTGAAATTTCTGCTTGAAAAAGTTTGGTAGCACATGGACTGTCCCACGGTCCAGAAAAATGGCGGGTCATCTAGCGGGAAAGTTAAAAATTGGCAGACTTTTGACGCGATTAATACACTTTCGACAAGGCCATGGGCAGGTTCTGTGTGCAGACTAGACAAGTAAGACCATTATTATAAGTTTCGTAAAATTTATGCGGCAGTAATTGTGAATATAATGAGATACAGTACGTAATTTATAGCAAATTCGAAGTACAAACGCAACAACAACAAGACAACAAGTTGCATATTTAGTAAAACTAGGCTATGCAACGTTTGTTAACTGATATGGGATAACAAAAATAGCTCACCTTGACCTCTGGAATCCTCTGTACGGTACAGAAACTGACAAAAAGGATACACGTCACTGTGACGTCAGCTAAACATGTGCCTTGTGTTCCAGCATAGCGCCAGGCGCCAAGCAGAAATTATGTTTCTGTGCATAATGAAACCGTCCCATCATGCATTGCGTCGTCTGCCACTAAAAGTTGGGATCTAAAGTTTTGATTAATACAATAAATATAAAATGAAATTAATGTTGCAATGGCATTATGAATGAGAATAAATTGATATGTTGAATTGGGTGTTTTTAAATGGATGTTTTGGTATTTGAACTCTCAAATTGATATAAACTTGGCATCAGGAGATAAGCCTCATATATTCTCATTTAAAGTAAATTCTAGGAAGTTTCAAAGTACCATTACAAAACAGTAACGTTAAATTAAAATCAAGTCAATACAGCAATGTGTAATTCCTCAGGCTCGCAATGACACATTGTCACCACCCATTATAAACTTTGTATCACTATCAGGTAGCAAGGAGCTTTAGATTGAAAAGAAGGTTAAAACTACACAACACTCAATGGAAATCACAAGTTAACACGACATGTCTTCCCCAGCCTGCGCAATGCCACAACCCCCGATGAACGGCATGGTGAGCTGCATGACAGACTGGGACGGTACCGAGGTGTGCACGGCCAGCTGTGCGGACGGGTACAACCTGGCTTCTGACAACGCAGACATAACCTGCAACATGGATGGCACATGGTCTGGGGCCTTCCCAGAGTGTGTGGGTAAGTTGTCTTTGTGCTACATGTATCATCATCATTTCAGGTCAAACTATTACTAGAATTAGTCCTGGACACTTTCTGTCCAAAGGTTCCTGTTGTTTGTGATATTGATCCTGTCAAAGTGTCCTGCAAATGAAAGTTTTCTCTCCTAAAGTTTGTGCTACATGTAATTCATTAAGTCATAAAACTGTGTGTTAGCTGGTGTGTTATTCCAAAGGGCAGTTGTAACAGCTATACTGATACAGATACAGATGCAGAACTATCAAGAAAAGTAGGACCTTTTTATAGGCTGTCACTCACTGCAAGTTGAAGCTTCTTTTCTCATTTCTTCTTTTCTTGTGCAGATACATGTACTATATCACTTCTAATGACAACTTTGTTCTTTCCAGTAGTTTAGGACTAATTAGATTGTACCCCAAAATATGTTGTTTTCATGTACTCAGCATTTATGTCAATAGGAATAACATAAGACTACACTCACACAAGGTTATAATAGTAGTGAAGTAGGGAATAGGGATACATATAGAATACAACACGAATTCCGTATACGGGGTATTCCGTATCGCCCGAGGTATCGGCCCGACCCCGGGTCAGATCGCCCGCAGGCCGGAGGGCGATCCGACTCGCGGGAGGGCCGGGACCAAGGGCGATGCGGAATACACCGAACGTTATCGCGGCCCGGGTATGATATAATGTAAGAGATACACCCTGTAGCAAAGTACTAATCATAATATTACCAACCCTTTCCAAACCCACAGCCACAGTGCAGATTTGTCAGCTGCCCGCCCCGCCCATGTTCGGGCACGTGTCCTCCGCCACAGACGTGAACGGCAAGCAGACGGCCACGCCCAGCTGCATGTCCGGGTACCACCCCGAGACGCCGTTCCTCGCAGAGTACGTCTGTGTCAACGGTGCCTGGAGTCCCACAGCTACCTTCCCCAACTGTGTGAAGGGTAAGTAGACTTCTAACACTGATTTCTGATTGGTCCAGCATTTTAACCCTTAGTACCTTTCCCCAACTGTCTGAAGGGTAACAACTCCGGATCCTAACACTGGTTTCTGATTGGTCCAGCATATCAACCCAATCATTTACCCTTAGTACCCTTCCCCAACTGAATGTAGGGTAAGAAATCTTACTAGCACACTGATTTCTGATATTTTCACCAGAAATACAATTCATTTACACTTTGAAGGAATTTTGTTACTTTTGGGGCTATGATATTTGGTCCAGCTTACAGTAAGTTACATTTCTCCATTTTTCTTGTTATGGATGTTACCCCTGAAGTTTATTATTTGCTTTCCCTCCCAGATGGTGCAGATGGAGGTGATGTCATCCTCCCTGTTCTGCCTGGCTCTACTGAGTCCTCCATCATGCAGGGTCAGTTATGCTACATTGTAGCTATTCTATAACATGTTACAGTTACTACACTGTACTTGCTTTCTTCTAGCTATATACTATAGTATATACAACTGGTGTTCTATCTCATTCTGTATGATACTGATAGGTACAAAAGTGCTAAAACTAGCAGTCTTCACAGTATGTTTCTAGCTTCAATTCATCACTTTCAAGAAATATAGCCTGGATGCCAGCCTTGTTACAGACTGAAGGCTGGCATCCATGTAAGAAAAAGGCTTCCATACCAAAGAATAAGATTTCATATGCTTCTACAGATCCTATCATAACCAATTGGTCTACTCCACACTATTACCAGATACTTTATCTTCATTTCTTTCTGAGTATTCCCAAAGGTACATGTAGATAGGTGAAAATCATTGTATAATAGTTTTATTCTGACGATGGAAAGACAACTTTGACAAATCAATGATTTCTTCTCTACTGTTGAACAGTGGATACTGCTGTGGTGACTGCCGATCAGTTTGGCCACTGCACAGCCTTTGGGCAGAGCCACTATCGCACCTTTGATGGGCAGATGTACTACTTCCGAGGGAGCTGCACTTACCTGCTGGCAGGAGACTGTGCCGACAACACCTTCAAGATCCACGTCAGGTGGGATCGTTTGTTTGTTTGTTTGTTTGTTTGTTTGGTTGTTTGTTTCACATAACTGGTAACCTTACGTCTTAACCCTTGGTCTATTTTAGCCATAGAAATGCCTTGTTAGCGCCAGCATTCACAGAGCTGCTACATGTATATGTATATAACATTACTCAACAAAGCAACAAGTGTTATGACACTGTAAAGCAGTAAGAGCTTGTCCTACCCTGTATAAAGAAAAGCGAAATACATTGTACATGTAAATTAATGTCAATAAGGAAGAACTCAACTTGTAATGTTGCCTCTAGTGTGTGTAACTGTCATCAAACATTTTCCTCGAAAAGTCAAAGAACAGTGGCTGAGTGAGATTTTCAATCTCCAACATATACATTGTAGACTTCTGAGTCATGAGAGACACTCATTTTCATGCGACTGTTTTGATTGGTGGTTACCATAGGAACCAGAGGGACTGCAGTGCTGCGGCCCCCTGTCACCGCTTCGTGACGATCTACCTGGGCAACATGGTCATCAGGATCGAGAAGGGCGCATCGGTAACTTACAACTTTACTTACAGTACTAAAGTCTACACAAAACTTACTCATTGTTGCACAGTCCCTACAGGGATAATAGTTTTGAACCATGATTGTGTGATGATGAGGGCGTAAGATTAGAGTAACAGTGAAGACATTATGAAAGCTATCGTCAGAAAGCTTCTCAAGCTGAAGTTTCTAGATGTGAGTTCTAGTTTAAAAGTGGACCCTGCAAAACAGATTCAAATATGTCTACATTTACTATACTGTTTGGGTTGAGGGATAATTGACCTATACAAAGATACAGATATCTACTAAGCTTATGATCTTCTGATCACTGTGGAATTGTGTGCCGTAATGGTCAGGGTGTTCGGCTTAGAACCAAGAGGTCCTGGGTTTGATCCCTGACATGCCCAATGTTGTGCCCTAGGGAAAGGCACTTTACATGACTTCCCTCCCTGTACGGTAGAGTGGCACCCATCAGGCCTTTCGGCTAATCGTTGATCCTGTGTCCAAACACTAATGAGGACACAGATGGATTTGGTGTCACAAATATGCCTAGATCTACACATTTGTCAATAAGAATACATTCTTTTTTGATAAACCAATAATGACTGGATTTCTTTCCTGCCTCAGGGCCCTGTGGTGTTCCACAATGACCTGCAGCTCACCATCCCCACCAAGATTGGAGATGGGCTCCTGGTGGAGAAGGTTGCAACTTACATCACAGTCAAGTCTGGCCTGGGCTTCCAACTCAAGTGGGACGGTGATGAGGCCATCTTTGTTGACGTAAGTACAGAAAAGACATTATCTCTTTCACTTATCAGTTCAAACCCTTTTTGTGGGTAGATAAAGGTTAGACGTCGAGATACATATAGTTCATGTATAGAATATATCAAAATTTATTGCAAATACATGCTGGAGGGCTACAGTAATTACAATGATATACGCCCAACTATGCCCAACATTAAACTATATACTACAACATACATGGTACTAGTTTCATTGGGTTTGACTTTTTTTCTTTTGAGGCAGTGGATGACAAATGAAAATTCTTTTCTCTTATCAGTATATGTATTTAAAAAATCATTATTATAGACTCACAATCAACATTAGATGATTCGCTTTGATATTACAGCTAAAAACAAGATTGTGGGATTGGTTTCAATGTTACACTGTTATTATTATTTCTTATTATTCCAAACTATTTCCCTCTGCTCGTAGGTCACAGATGAGCTGTCTGGAAAGACCTGTGGTCTCTGCGGGAAGTTTAACCGCGATCCCAGCGATGACTTCACCGACATCATGGGTCACGTCGCTCACACACCAACAGCTTTCGCTAACAGCTACAAGATGTTGGCTGATGGTGGTACGTATCATTATTTATCTATCCTTCATTCATTTCAGTAACTAACATGGAACAGTTTCAACTGCATGCAAATTCTTTAAATTTGACATTTGCTATCTTGACTTAGAAGTTTGAAGTTAAGCCTATTTCCTGACTTACATGTACTTTATCAACATAACCTGCTAAACTGATTAAAATGAAGGCAACAATAGTCCCTGGCATCTAATGTTATTATTAACCAGTTAACTAACCAAACTAACCCACTAACCCTGCAGAGACGTGCCATGACTCGACCAGTCAGAACAGCCACTGTAAGTCTGACACCACCCAGCACCAGCAGGTCACTGCTGCCGCTGACGCCACCTGTAGGTCGCTGCTGGACAGCCCAACCTTCGCCACATGCCGCCAGGTTCGTGTAGCACGATCAAAGTTTGACTTTTCCAGCACCACAGAGCAGACCAATCACAGTGCATTGTTTTTCTTGGCCCTCAAACTAAGGAAGTTTTTTCTGGCCAACATGAGTCCTGTACTGTCAACAAAGGCTTGAGCCTTCTTCAAGAATAGTGACCCATTCACATCTGACATGTGACATGTCAGTTGTAACAGTAGGGTTCAAGCACCACTAACTCACCCAGTCCAAAGAGTCTGGACCTTTTGGCCTAGCGGTTAGCATGTTACATTCGCAAGCTGGCTGCCCAGGTTCAGCGCGGGTTCGATCCCCAGTGTCCTGGGAGCCAGGATAGACTGTACTACTCGCCTCTTGTTTCACAATGATGAGACTATAATTCTCTATCTCCTCTTCTTTGTATTTTCACAAGTAACAGTCAGTAGCTATCTACAGCATTTGGATACAGTTATTACAATGTACAGTGCCATGATTGTAAAAGTTAAGCAACATACATGATTGTATGAAGTAAACTCTTCCCCCTGTATTTGTTTCATAGGTGGTTGAGGCCCAGTTGTTCTACCAGATATGAAGTAAACTTCTCCCTCTGTATTTGCTCTCAGGTGGTGGATGCCCAGCCGTTCTACCAGGCCTGTATGGATGACGTCTGCTTCTGCAACGGACAGCGTAGCGGCTGCGAGTGCGGGACCTTCGAGGCCTTCGCTCGGGAGTGCATGCGCCAGAACATCCACTTCACCTGGAGAACCAACAGCTTCTGCCGTAAGATGCCCTATATTACTAACAGTATTAGCTACATATGTCAGCACTGTTGTAACAGTGGTGTTGTGCTTTTTAGAACAGTCTATGACTTTCCATTGTTTTTCTCTTGCTGATTACTATCGACAAAATAGACAAGAACAGGGGTCAAAAAGGTAACTGAAACATATCTCAGACTGTAACTGGCAGAAGGCAGAACATTATACGAGCAGCACCTTGCCTCTTGCAAAGCATCCACATGGTAGAACAAGCCATTGTGTTAAAGTAAAGGCTTTGAATTGAATTAAACTGCCACTTAAATGAATACTTCAATAAATAAACTCATATGTACATATACATGAGCCAGACATGACATGCTGCCCCCCTCCCTCCCCCTGTAGCGGTGTCCTGCCCTGCTGGCCAGGTCTACCAGGACTGTGGCAGCTCCTGCCCCAAGACCTGCCGCCAGACGGTCTACAACTGCGAGGACGAGCAGTGCATCGACGGCTGCCACTGTCCCGACGGATACTTCCTGCATGGCAACGACTGTCTGCTGCAGGACCAGTGTCCCTGCCTCAGTCACGGACAGGAGTACCTGCCTGGCTCCACCATCAAGTCTGACTGTAACGACTGGTGCGTTTGCTTTCTTTGTATCTGAATTAACGCTGTGACAATTGTATTAAATGTACTGTCATTAAAGTTCATCTGTGTTGGTAGTTACAGTTGGGAGAACTTTTTTGTGTTGGATCAAAAGTTTTAACTTTAAACATGTATTAAATGTAATAGAGCTAGGAAGGAAACAGATCTACAACAAGCTTCAAAGGATTGTCTCTTAGGAGAGAATATGTTGACAGAAATTTCTTCTTCCTCATCAGTGCAAATTCTGTTAGGGAATGTCATTGGTACACATGTAGCTTCAGAGCTGTTTCTAATCGTTGTGTTATTTCTCCCTCCCTACAGTGAGTGCAAGTCTGGCAGATGGGAGTGCACAAACAATGTGTGCGAGTGTAAGTACAGAACACTTTCTTTCACACAACTTGAAAATGTCACATACAACTTACAATTCATGTTTGGAAAGGACACATTTTTCTTGTATCCTAACAGTAAAGACTTGTTTGTCTCCTTGTTTAAATCTTTTTTTGCATTTTCCCTACTTCCACCATAGCCACTTGCCGTGCCACCGGTGACCCTCACTACATGACGTTTGATGGAAAGCGTTATGACTTCATGGGAGACTGTTCCTACACTCTGGCCAGGAACATCGACAACAGTGTGGCTGTAAGTGTAGAGTGTCATAGTCTAAAAGGAAACAACATTTTGACAAAGTCAAGACAAGGTTGATGCAAATTGAATCAAATATAGCTTGTAGAATATACTTTCAACAGGATATATTACTGACACCTTGCCCCCCTCCCCAGGACTTCCACATTGTTGCTGAGAACATCGAGTGCGGCACCAGCTCTGCCCGCTTTGCCTCCTGCACCAAGTCCATCTCCGTCATGCACGGCGGCTCTCAGCTCAAGATGAAACAGAACCTGGCACTGCTGCTGAACGGGCAGGACATCACACGTCTGCCACACAGGGCACCAGGACTGTACATCGAGTGGGCTTCTTCCATCTTCCAGAAGGTAAGGGAGGATGGAAGGAAGGAAAGATGGAAGGAAGGAAGGATGGATGGGAATATGGATGGAGGGATGGAAGTGATAACGGGATTCAGAATGAAGGAATGAAAAATGGAAGGAGATAGATGAATTAAAGAACAAGTGAATAAAAGAAGGATGGAAGGAAGGAAGAATGGGTGGAAGGGTTGAAGGAAGGTATTCAGTATAAATGAGTGAAAGATGGACGGAGGCAGATGAACGATTCAAGAACAAGTAACAATGAATGAATGACAACTGAATGAATGAGTGACAAGTTAATGAAGAAATGAATGAATGAACGAATGCGCTCTAACCAAAGTCTGCAAGCTGTTCTTCATACTGTCTATACACATTTAGTGAGAAACTTACAAAAGAAACATATTGTCCATGTGCTGGAAAAAGGGTGATCCTGACAGAAATTCTGAGATTTCAGTGCAGAGAGTGACTATTCTTTTATTAATCATCTCCCTCCCTCAGGTCACCCTTGACAACGGCATGTCCATCCTGTGGGACGGTAACATGCGTGCCTACATCACCTCACCTGCCAGCTTCTCTGGGAAGACTGTCGGTCTCTGTGGTACCTTCGACAACAACCAGAACGTAAGACAGGCCTCACATCTGTTTTAGTCTCATTGGTTTATAGTAGCAAATACACAAATGTACTTCATCTTGTATACTTTTTCCTGTCATCCTAATGCACAGTCAGTAACAATATCGTTGAGTTCATTTCAAATTCTTGTTTGAAGGCTGATTGCAAGCAACAGGAAAAGGATGAACAAACTAGAAAGGCCAATATTTGCTTTGGAGCAAATACAGCGATGGGTTCACCACATTTTACGACATGGCAGGGAAAGAATGAGAAACACAAGGGAAAACAATGATTTACATTGATATAACTATAATATGAAGTAACATACAACTAAAACAACAGTTGGATAGCTATTCCCTACTTTATTGGTTAGGATTTTTAATTGCATAATGCAAACTGTTGATTTTCAAAATAAAAAAAACGTTCATGCCCCGCATTCCAATGCTGGAGCAGAAAAGCTTGAAATACCTACCAAAACACTTGAATAAAGACATATACTGTCAGTATGGAAATGCTCTGTGCAGGTGTTATTAACAATCACATAAACTATGAAGCCATACATTGAATAAGCTATACATATAATATGATTATCATAACCTTTATTTTTAAAATCATGCCAGTGAGCTAATTGCATGTACAGAGTGAAAGAAAGTAAAGTAAAGCAGTAGAATTTCTGTACTAGCTATGATAGTACTTCATATGATTCGTCCTCATCGTCATCATTCAATGTGGTCTATCTCTTGCTACTAGTGACTGGTAATACCTCTGTAGATTCTTCACACTGGCAGAGTACCGTACTCATTCTCTCTTGTCAGCTCAATACTTTTGTGACAACATCAAAGTGATTTTAGTTTGTATGTTGGAAAAATACAAAAGACTAACATTCTAAGTTATTGACATTCTTGAGTAAGAACAATCAGTTTTTGAATGTTAAAAGCAAAACAACGAAAATAAAAAAATGTTGAAATTGTTAAAATGCAGAATTGTTAAAATCGTTAAAACTGATAAAATTGTTAAAAATTATAAAATTGTTAAAAATGTTAAATTGCTAAAAATATTTATGTCCGATGCACTGGGGTTCGAACTTGCAATGCCTGGGATTGCCGCCTTGCGCGTTTCCAACCGAGCTAACTCGGTGCGATACACATCACTCACTGCATTGTATGTCATAAAAAGTAAACAGCATGGCGGTATCGATCGCCTCAAGCCACCAAGACTTTCAACTATTAACTACGGGGTTTCCTTCTTTATCAGGTTTGCTTTTGAACCACCTTGATGTTACTTAACTATCAACCCGGCTAGCAGAAGCCGCCGGCTCCTTTGATATTACAGCCGCTCCCTGTCCAATCTTGTTTACACGCCGGGCGCAGGTCATTGACCTCCAACTTGCGTTGTTCCAACAGAGAAGAGCAAAATGTCTGGCTCCCGCAGAACGTACCGCACTCTCCCGCTGGACGTACCGCACTCTCCCGCAGAACGTATCGCACTCTCCCGGAGGACGTCCCGCACTCTCCCGAGGGAAGTCCCGCACAGCGTCCTGCACTCTCCCGCAGAACGTCCCTCGAAAATTGATGCGTATTTCGTGGCCTGTGCTGTACCTACCAAAACACTTGAGTTCATACTGTCAAAATGGAATGGCTTTGAACAGGTGTTAATTGAGTTAATCCAATCAAATCCAACAGCCAATCAGCAAGAAGAAAAGATTAGGCTGCGTCAGGTTCATGCTTGCATGCCCATATATGGGCATGCCGCCGAATTTCTTTCTTATTACGTCACGCGCGTACGCCCCCGCACAGTACTTTCCTATGGGGACCGCTAAAAAAGCAAATAAAACGATTGTAAAAGCTTGTATCACAAAAATTTAAAAAACGCCTAGGGGTATTTGCCCACTGTACCTCCATACCAAATTTCAGGACCTTAGGCCCTAAAATGAAGAAGCTGAATCCATTTAAAGAAATGGCAGGAGGAGAAGAAGAAGGAGGAGAATCATGAGAAAAAGCAATATGGTTTCACCACTTTGTGGTGAACCCATAAAAATGGCAGGAGAAGAAGGAGGAGGAGGAGGAGAAGGAGAAGAAACACCAGAAAAAGCAATATGCTTTCACCTCACCACTTCGTGGTGTGGTGAACCCATAACAATGAAGCACAATAGATACATGTACATATGTGACTATTTTGGACTAAAAGCTGGCTCTAAATTAGAATAAATCAAATTTGCAAAGAAAGTTTCCAGAGTCACAAAGAGTGCAACTTTGTTTCCCCTTCCAGAACGACTTCCTGACAGCGCTGGGTGATATCGAGACCAACCCAGTGTCCTTCGCTAACAAGTGGAAGACCGACGACACCTGCATGGACCAGGCCCTTATGCCGGGGACAGAGGAGATCGCCCACCCCTGTGATATCTACTCCCAGCTGAAGGCCACTGCTCAGGCTGAGTGTGGTTACCTCCTGCAGGAGCCTTTCACAGGTAAAGAAGCCGGCACTTCCTTTTCGGAAAACTGTAATACATACATGTAATTGCAATCTGTTCATTTAGCCGATAAATTTGCTGTCTTCAAATGTTATATAAAATCAAATGGGCTTCTACATTTGAAGTTGTTCTACTTTCTAGTCTGTCCTTGTATAAAATATGCTTATAGAAGTCCACTTTGTCTTTCCAGCATGCCACAATGTGGTTGAAGGGTGTAACAGTTGTACTTTCTAGAATGTGTTTTTGTAACCTAGTAACTGGTGGGCATGCTCATAGAAAATGCATTTTATCTTTCCAGCCTGCCACGATGTTGTTGACGTGAACCCGTTCTACCAGAACTGTCTGTTTGACTTCTGCGCCAGCCAGACCAACACCGAGCAGCTGTGCAGCACCCTGTCCGACTACGCCATGGCCTGCGCCAGTAAGGGGGTGGTCATGGACTGGAGAGACGTCGTTCCAGGCTGCGGTAAGTAGAAACAAAATAATCAGAGAAAGAGAAAAAACACAGAGGGCAAGCAATGAGAGAAAAGAATTGCGATGGATTAATTCTCTTACTCCTGTTGAAACCCATACTTAAGATTCAGAAATGGTTGCTCTCAACAAAATGGGTTTGAAAAGTTTTAACATATTTTTTTTTCAGTTTTAACAGTAACACCTCAGTGACAAACCTGCTTAAAAATGATAAAATCTTCGTGATAACTTTCTTTAAAAATGATAATTTGCTAATAATCTTTAAAGATGGTAACATCTCAGTGATAATTTTCTTTTAAGACAGTAACATCTCTGTGACAACCCTCTTTAAAAATGATAACATCTTGCTATAATATTCTTCAAAGATCATGGTGACATCTCAGTGACAATGTTATTCCCTTCCCCCCCAGCTCTGAACTGTATGGGTGACATGATCTACCAGTCGTGTGCCTCCTCCTGTGGCACCAGCTGTGCCAGCCTGGCGGAGGGCCTGACCTGTCAGGATGACTGTGTGGAGGGCTGTAACTGCCCGCCTGGCACCGTGCTGGACCACAGCGGCTACTGTGTCACACCCGAGCAGTGCGGCTGCATGCACAACGGCCTCCACTACGCTGATGGTGAGACTATCAACAAGGACTGCAACACATGGTAAGTCACCTCCATGAATAGTTTCATCAGGTTGGTAGGTCACTGAATAAAGAGACTTTTGGCACACAACCTAGAGCTTGCATAAGGCTCTTAGGCCACACCAATTTAATTTGTTGGTTCTCGGATTCGCCTCTTCATTTTTTTCTGATTTGCAAAAAAAAAAAAAATGATTCTGGTTCTGCATCAACTCAAATATGCTCATATTTTGCCCCAAACAGTTGAGGAAAGTCCTTTTCTTCCTAGTTGTTACAGTTTGCCCATGTATCATTGCAGTGGTTTGATTAAAAGTTCAAAATTAAATGTTTAAATTTTAACCCAGCCTTTTGTGTTGACTTCATGGCTCATTTCATAGCATATAAGCCTATAATAGGATGCCTAGACCTGTTTTTATTTTTATTTTTTTTCGCCCTGTCGCTTCATATTTTTTCTGAAAAAATCCGAGAACCAACAAATTAAATTGGTGTGGCCTTAGTTGTGAACAAAGAGTCTCTTTATTCATGGTAAGTCACCATTGGAGAAAAAACACAGAGGACAAGCAATGAGAGAGCAAAATTATGAAGGATTAATTCTCTTACTGCCATTGAAACCCATACTTAATATTCAGAAATGGTTAGATTTAAAAAGTTGAAGTCCTCCCTGCAACCATTAGCATATGGAGTTGCCCGTCTCCATCTTGTAGCCCTTGAGCCTTTTTCTTGAACTGAAGTTGAATTTCCTCAAAGACTAAAATTCTGTGTTGTTGTCCCCAGCATCTGCCACCAGAGCCAGTTCCAGTGTACTCAGAACGTCTGTCCTGATGCTCCACTCATGGCCAGCTGTGGTGAGAACGAGGTAAGAATCCAACTTTAAATACTGTGTACTTCCTGTTGTGTGAAATTAGCTACTAGAAGACATTACACCAAATGTTAGACTAGCTGTATATCATTATGTACTGGCCTATAGCCAAAGGACAATAGCCAAAGGACAATATTTCTGATAGACCTCCTTGCCCTCTTACATTGTGAAGGATCCATTTTAAAGATAGCTTTAGAATTTTTTTTTAAGAATCTGATCTAGAAGTTTAGACATCAACTTGAAGTTGTTTTCTGTTTGTTTGTTTGTTTGTTTGTTTGTTTGCGCCATTGTTAACTCATTAGGATAGAGGTTGGGGCCAGACAAAATATAAAAGTATACACTCGGGTTTTGTTAAAGTCGTCAGTGCAAGCTTGACATTTTCTATCCGCAGGAGTTCACCACCTGCAAGTCCCTGTGCCCCCGCACCTGCGACAACATGCACCTGAACGTGGAGTGCACCACCGTCACCTGCGAGTCCGGCTGCCAGTGTAAGAACGACACGGTGTGGGACTCCACCCAGCAGAAGTGTGTGACTCCCAACCAGTGTCCCTGCTACCACGGCAGCCACAGCTACCAGGCTGGAGAGACTATCCAGATGGACTGTAACACTTGGTGAGAGGAGGGTCACTTTGTGACTTTTACTTCAGCCAAATCTTAATTGTATCTCCTTTCAAGACCTAAAGATAAAGGTTTCATTGTAGCCTGAGATACTCCTCAAAAGTACTTTATCTTGGACTAGATTTTTATCTTTTTTTAAGTTCAAGAATGAAAAAGGTTTCATTGAACCCTTAGCTCTTAGACACCACTCAAATGTACTTAAGCCAACTCTTTTTTGTTCAAGACCTGAAGAAAAGGTTTTATTGAACCCTTAGACCCTTAAAGCATGCCTACCCTATATACAGCTAACTCTGTCACTTAATCTTTTTTTTTTCAAGACAAAACTTGCAAGAAAGGTTATGTGGGCTCTTTTTATATGCCTTTTATAATATTCTTAATCAAAGACAAATCTAAAAATATTGGTTACGTGGTGTTCTTTTCTACTACTAAAATGGAAGTGTGATATCTATGTTTGTTTTCCAGCTACTGTAACGGCCAGGTGTGGACCTGTGAGACTAAGGAGTGCCCAGGCATCTGCTCCGTCTTCGGTGATCCTCACTACAAGACCTTTGACGGCAAGATGTTTGAGTTCCAGGGAGACTGTGACTATGTCATCTCTAAGACTAAGGACACCTACGCCAGCCCCTACTCCATCACAGCCGAGAACATCCCGTGTGGCACCAGTGGAGTCACATGCACCAAGAACATCGTCTTCACTCTTGGTGAGTCTCATACAAACTTTTATTTACTTCTTATCTAATATATAATATATTTTATATAATGTATGACAAGTGGATCAAATGTTTTGCTATGGCTTCATTACTATGAGATTTCCTAAGGCCAAGGAAAAAAATGTTATGTTTCCAGTTTCCCGACTGACCCTTGCAAAAACCCAACCCTTAGGCCTTTTTTTGATTGACCGCTGGTAACGCTATAAAATTTTCAAACTGAGAGCTGAATTTCAAACCCTCAGAATTCTGAAAGTCATTTCATGCATTTTCAGAAGCAATTTTTCCTTCAGTAGATCAGGAGAGATATTTGACCACAAGCAAACAGGTGGATGACAGTCCTGATGCATTATTTAACTTTATTTGTTGGATCACTTTAGAAATGAAACAAAAATTATGTAAACACTGGATTCACCAACTGTCAAAACAATAAGAGGCAGCGGAAGGAGAAATATTTTAACTGTTTTATAAATGAATAAAAGGAACTGTTAGGTAACTGACACAGTAATAAAATGTGCTGAACCTGAATCTTTTTTCCTGTCTCCAGGCTCAGGCCCCACCAGGCAGCGTCTGACCCTTGTGCGTGGCCAGCCCATCACGGTGACTCAGGGACAGGACTTCCGCGTGCGTGAGTCCGGCATGTTCATCTTCATCAACACTCCCATCGGTGTGGAGCTGCAGTGGGACAAGGGAACACGTATCTACATCCGCCTGGAACCTCACATGAAGAACCAGGTAAGGCTGCAGTTTACATGTGTTTTAGATAGAATTATTTCTTTCAAACTCAATCCATATCAGGACTCTCTATCTAGCCAGAACCCATTTTTCCATCAATTGCAGGAATTTTGCAGCGTGTGATACAAAATTTGCTAAACCAATCCGTCAACATTAATGGACAAAAATTGACAAAAATCTGTCGGAAGAAATGTAAAAACTTGAAAAACACCATCAGCAACCACTCTCAACCCCATGATTTGCCTCTCAAAATGTAGGAAATTGCATCTTTAAATCCAAAATTTGCTCTTCTAAGTTTAAGGTCGTTTTCACATATTTAATCATGATATCCCGTCTGCAGTTTTCAAATGCTTTGTCAGGAAAGATATCTTATGCAATGGACAAAATTCCAATACAATGTTGGCCAAATTCCGATGCAATGTTGGCCAAACATCCAACAAAAAACCATGATTTTTGTGCAGGTGCAGTTACTGTACATTCTGCCAATCTGCCGCGATATTTGCTCAAAAGACATGAACAACAGAAAAATGTTGCAACCTCATTTCTCATACACATCTTGCATTCCTTACGCTCCTTTGGGTAAAGGTGTTAGGTGTGTATTTTGAACAGCTTATCTAAACCCCCCAAGTCTGTATTTGACCTGACGTCTCATTTATTCAGAATCAATCACAACACATGAGTGATTTTGAGTCGAATTCCAGTGTCAGTTGGAGCAAAAAATACTTTAATGCCAAAAGAAACACATCACTTATACTTTGCTACAAAACTCCTTCAAAATGTTGCAAGTCATGTCACAATTTGTTACATTAATTAGACATAACTCAGTTATACACAATCAAAAGTCAATATGTATATTAAGAGAAATCAGTTATATATCTAATGCCACTGAAGTACTTGGGATTTCTTAACTGCAAAAGTGTCCGAAAGGTTACTGACCCAGTATTAACGCATGAGACAATAGCAATAAACTTTTCATAGCGATTACTATTGATGATGTTGATCTTTTTAACAAATATTTGTCCTGTCACCAAGTTTGGGAATAAATTCTGTAGTGTAAACAACGCAAGTAAACAGACAGCATACCATATCTGATTACTCGACATGAAATGTAAACATACTGTGAAAGAACAATTCAGGAATGAATGCCCACACTTTTTTTCTCTGTTAGATTAAGGGGGCATTCTTCTCACACTATTTGTTTACTAAATCCCTTGTAGATAAACTGTTTGAAGAATTTTCCTTGCACATGGTAGTTCTAACATGTACATGTATAAACTTCACACATGTAGTACATTTAATATTTCATACTTTGTAGAATTAATTGTGTTCCTTGGCACAATTGAACAGGGCTGCTAAAGAATTTACAATGTTACATGTAGATGACAAGGTGCATTTACAAATAAGCATATTCTAATCATAATATATTACTTAAACTCTACATACAATGGTTATTCTTGAATAAAACATGAAAATTGGGAACGTGAATTTGAGTTAATTTGAGTCAACTTTGAACAAGTCCTGAACACTGCTGACTTACTCCCAAATGATTTGCTGGTGTTCTACTGACCTACAGTCAAATACTAAGTTAAACCAACCATGGTTGAACCTCCTGACCAACCCCATAATGTATGATTAAATATTTTGAATTTTTCAGTTCACGCAACCAAATAGTAACCAGAATTCTTTGTGCCATTACCTACGTAACTATGGTTTGGGGGTATTCGGCTAGTGCTCAGAATGCCAAATTCGCAGGCTCATCTCTGTGTACATATATGTACAATGGTACAGACTACTGAGCGTGCCTAATGCTTGTTGCCATGGCTACAGGTTGAGGGTCTCTGCGGTAACTTCAACGATGACCAGAACGACGACTTCACCTCTCCGTCCGGCGGCCCCGCCTCCCAGCTCGCTAACGAGTTTGGCGACTCCTGGAAGGTCCACGACTACTGCATGGACGCCGTGGTACGTGACCTTGTCACTAGTCTTGTGTTGTCCATGATAAAATACTCTATATGGCAATTTTATATCATAGCTAGACCGCAATAGCATTCGATACAGGTGTTCCAGCCCGTGTGATAGTAACTAGCCGTATATAACCCAAGCACATTTTGCGTGCACCAAGCGTGCTGCTTTCGAAAATTTGAATACTGGATTAAATTTATTTTGTTACAGTTTTTATGTTTAGGGACACAAAATTTTGGCACATTTTGCATTGAAATGTTTTTCTTGGGTGGGTATGACAAATAAAATACAACATGGTGTATTATGCATCGCCCTCAAGCTCTCCCACGGTCAGGGTGGCATCACAGGTGATATGGAATTACCATTTAGTATTCTATATTGACCTACATGTTGCTTCATCCAGGTTGTTGAGGATACCTGTGCCCTGCACCCCAACCGTCAGTCCTGGGCCCAGCGCAGGTGTTCCATCATCAAGTCGGAGGTCTTCGAGCCTTGCCACGTGCACGTGCCCTACCAGACCTACTACGACAAGTGAGTAATCCTTTAATGATAAAGTTAAACTTTGATCCAACATAAAATGGAACTCACCATGAATTTTCAGCTGAACTCTTCAACCTTCATCAGATGTGTGATCCACTCGCTGACTCTAGGACGATAGGAGTGAATCAAAATTGGCCATTGGACAGAATCTCCCACCGTATCCTCGTGTGCATACACTAAGCATTGTCATCAAGCATGACAGCTTAATCCCTGACATTAGTTACAAACTATGAAACTCTTGCCATAGCACATCTTTTTTTTAAGGAAAGTAGCCATTTGAACATCATGATAATAATTAATGTATGGGTAAAACAGAAAGTAAAAGACTTAAAACCCAGAGTTCTAAGGGAATGAAACTAGGGAACGTATTCTACCACACATGTATTTATAACTGTGATGGGGCGGTTATACAGATACAGATATCTCAGACTAATGCCTGTGTTCCTCCTCTACCTGACAGGTGTGTGTATGATGCCTGTGGCTGTGACTCTGGTGGTGACTGCGAGTGTCTGTGTACTGCCATCGCCGCCTACCACTACGAGTGTGCCCTGCACGGCATCTACATTCTGTGGAGAGAGCAGGAGATTTGCCGTAAGTTTCACCAACAATTACCTAAAAGGGGTTGAAAATATGTTTTGACAGAAAGAGAGACAGAAATGCTTTAGCTAGCCATTAGAATTAATTAATCTAAACCCAGTTATAATAAGCTTTCCAAAAAAAACTCAAAGTATGGCAAGAATAAAATGTTAGTTATGACACTGTCCTTGGTGCTGAAATGGGACTCAAGAGAAGGTATCAGCATTTTTCATAACTTTTCTGACCAACAGATCATCCAAAAGTGATTTTTCCAACTTATATTGTCACATTGGATCTACAACAGTATATTTTTAGCATTCTGCTATATTGTTGGTGTTTAGAAGGTTTCACAGAAGCAAATTTTCCACAACACAAAATGTCCTGTGTATTGAGAATTGGTAGAAAACATGTCAGACTGATAGTACATCCAGGAAGGTTTATGATAGCATGGTTTTCTGTTGTTCACAGCCATGCAGTGTGACCACGGCATGCAGTACGTGGCCTGCGCCAACCCCTGCCCGATGACATGCTCCAACTACGCCCAGTACGACCAGCTCTACCCATCCTGTAACGACACCTGCGTGGAGGGCTGTGGCTGCCCAGACGGCTTTGTACGCTAACATACTATTTTGTCGAAGAAATGTAATATAATGTAGCTGTAATACATGTAAGACAACCAGAGATAACATAGTCCATACCAGGACATACAGAAACTACACTACTCCCTCTTGCAGAACATACAGGAACTGCAGTGCAGAAGCACACCAACACACACGCAAGCACATTTTGCATATTTTTTTTACACTTAAGCTATGTCAAGCCAATTTTTTTCTCAAGACAAGACATTCCAGCTTCAGCATATATTTTATAACTTATACCTTGTCTAGCCTAAAAAAATGAAAGATTTTGGACCAGGACAATTGGCAAGTCAATGACTTCTAAAACTAGTCATTGGCAAACAATTAGTCTTCTTGAACAATCCTGGTAGCTTTGACACATCTGAAATAAAAATGAGAATGACTCCCCTTCCAGGTGATCGGTGATGATGGCCAGAGCTGTGTGCGTCCGGAGCAGTGTGCCTGCCTGATGATCGAGGGTGTGTCCTACGACAACGGAGACCAGATCCCATTCATGTCCGACAACTGCAGGACTTGGTAAGTACAGTATACATGTAGCTCAGCATTAGGAACCACAGATATCAAATGTACATGTATACAAAGGTGTGAACATCTGGCAAAGATGTTTGCTGCTTGTTATTATGTCCTTTTAGGCCAATACTAATGTCTTAACAGAATGTCCAATGTCTCTTCAGTTAACTGTAGCTTTGGCGTTACATTTTATATTTCTGTGTTTCATGTTTTACATACTATTAGAGATGCCTGGAAATGAAATGAAGTATAATTAAATGCATGAATTTCTGCACTTGCTGTGTAAGATTATGTAAGAACTGAAATTGTCTTTTATATGCGGGCATCGTTGCTCTGGTTATATTTTTTACAATATGGTATGGTAGTGACAGTATATGTTTCTTCTTACAACCATACTGAGTCTGTCTTTGACTTTCACAGCTACTGTGAGAACCACCAGATCAAGTGTATTGGTCAGCCATGTGACGGAACCTTGACCAGTAAGTTTTCACTGTTTGTTGAAGAGAACATCCTGTAAAGATGCTTTAAATTTCATGAAGTGATATCTGTCTGTTAAGTATAAATTTATACACTATAATACTAGTTATGTGTATCAATTTGCTCTAATGGGGGGTTGACAACTTTTGAGAGATTATGCACAGCATCTACATTCTCTGGAAATTATTGTAAGAACAAATGTTAGTTATGACTCTGTCCTTGGTGCTGAAATGTGACTCAAGTGAGGGTATCAACATTGTTCATCACTTTCCTGGCTGCTAGTTTGACCAAAAGTGATCTTTTCGAACTTATCTTGTCACATTGACTCTGTACAGTATATCTCTGGTGTTTAACTTGATTTTTTGTGTTTGTCTATTGCAGCTGCCAAGCCTGAGGTAACCACTGGTGTGTTCACCACCACTGTGTTCACCGCCACCTCAGGCGTCCTCACCACAAGCACTGATGCAAATGTGCCAATCTTCTCCACTACCAGCACAGTCACCACCAAACCCACCATCATCACCAGCACTACCCCACCCCCCACACAGGTCGGTACAACTTAGATGTCTTTTAAAGAACAAGGATGTGGTTGTTCAAAATTAGAGCTCAGTGTACTTTTTGTTCAGTGTTCTAGTCAGTATCTGTCTTCCCATCATTTGACAGAATTTTCCTGCTTGTGTCACACAAAAATTTAGCAATATCCTTCATCTTTGATGGACAAAAACTGGCACGTAACGACATGGAAAGAGTTGTTATTGAATTAAGCAACTCTTACCTTACCAGTACCTTAGCTTACCTTACCTTAGTTTACCAGTAAAATGTGTCACTCAAAATTGTGCATTTCAGAGGGTTAGATATGTCAGTGATGGATGTTACAAATTCTCAACTGTCAGATTTAACATTGAAAGATGCAACAAATATGAGATCTTTTCCTTGTGGTATTTCAGTAAGTGCATTGTTATTCAGGTGTTGAGTTTTGTTTTTGCCCTTTATTTTGCTTATATTTCCCATGCCTGTTCCTCCAGGTGTGCTTGACTGTGAACGGTGTCAGCTATTTGGAGCAGAGCATGATCCCAGACATCTCCAATGAGTGCCAGACATGGTAGGGGAATCTATATCAGAACATCTATCTGTTAAATCTAACATTTTGTTATTTATAGCTTGTAAAGCTGAGATTGTACGCCTTGAAATATCCAAATGTGTGTGTGTGTGTGTGTGTGTGTGTACATGTCTGTATGTTTAGCAGAACTATTTTCATCCTCAGTTATCAGCAATGTTGTTCTCTTTCATGAAGGTAAAATGGCATAATTTTCAAGAAGTATCCATATTTTTTACCATTTTTATCCATGTTTTTCATCTTTCAATTCACAAAAGTGCATTTTCCCTCCCACCACAGCTACTGTATCTCCCACAACATCCAGTGTGCGTACAACCCAGACTGCGCCACCACCACCCAGGCCACGTCTACCGGAACACCTCCCATCTTCACCCTGCCTCCGGGTGAGATCACCACAGGGTTCCAGACACCGACCGCAACAACCGGCACCCTGCCCATCTTCACCCTCCCACCGGGTGAAACCACCACCGGATCCACCGGAACCACTCTTCCGCCAATCCAGACCACCGGAGTCCAGACTCAGACCACCGGAGTCCAGACTCAGACCGTGCCACCAATTGTCACCTCCAGCACCACCGGGACAGTCCCCCTCTTCACTCTGCCCCCTGGAGAGACCACCATCGGTGTGGAAACCCTCCCGCCCATCGTGACCACCGGATCTACCACCGGTACCACTGTGCCGACCTTCAGCACCGTGGGAGTGACCACTGAGAAGCCCACTCAGCCTGTTACCATCATCAACGGTGACACTCAGACCACCACACTGCCCATTGGCGAGCTGCCACCACAGGCCTGTAGGGTAAGTATCATCTTATGCTTCACACGTTAAAGACTTTGGAAAAATTGGAGCATTACCGAGTTTGCCCATAATAATACAGTACTCTTGTGCTAGTTGGGCAGTCTTGGCTGTATTAACTATAAGAATAAAAAAAGGGCAGCATTTATTTATGAAAATTATCTAATAATAATACTAATATATCATACTACAATTAAAAAATTTGCAAGACAGCAGAATAGTCGACACTTTTTTGTCAGAAAGTTGAATTCTTTCTCCATTGCAATTTGTGCCAACACAGACAAACTTTCATACCCCTCCATATCAGTTGGAGACATAATATGCTGATCTAAGCATATTTTTGTCCACAGGAGCCAACTGACCACTGGACCCAGTGGTACAGTGTGTCCACTCCCACTGCCCTGACCGGCGGCGACTTCGAGACCATCGACAGCATCCGTCAGCTCTACAGCTTCTGTCCCAAGACCATGCTGACCGCCGTGGAGTGCCGCACCATCGGCTACAACCAGGCCGCCCACGAGACCGGCCAGGTCGTGACCTGCGACACCCAGAACGGTCTGATCTGTCTCAACGCTGATCAGCCAATGGGCAAGGATTGCTACAACTACGAGATCCGCTTCTTCTGCGAGTGCGGCCCAGGTAAGTTCTCGTTTAGCACATGGCTTAAAGTGCTGTCACCATTGCTCTGTAGGTTTTAATCTGGAGAAGCAGGTAAAAGCTATGATGGCTCTACATGAGGTATTCAAGATCATTGGAAGACACATCAGCAGGAAAAGTTAGTCTGAATATTTCTAAACCCATCTTTTAAAAGATCTAATCTTCTAATCTTTTAAAAGATCTAATGACAATGACGGGCTGAAAATATGTTTTGACAGCATACATGTAGAATCCTTCAGATAGTATTAATGAATCTAAGCCCTTTACAATTAGCCTTCCTGAAAAAACAGTAACTGCCACAAGAAGAAATATTATGACACTGTCCTTGGTGCTGAAATGTGACTCAAGTGAATGTATCAGCATTTTTCATCTCTTTTCTAACCAATAGTTGGACCAAAAGAGGTCTTTTCCAAGTTATATGGTTACATTGAAGGCACTTCTGCAGGAAAGTGCAGAATATTTATGATAAAAGACCCACTCTTCAATTGAAATAGAAATTGTTTCGTAGACATGCTTCATTTAAACATATTTTTCTCCACTCGTTTCCAACAGAAGTCACCACCCTGCCTGGCATCGTGACTGGCACACAGTTCACCACCCAGTCCATCACCACCCTCCCAGTCGTCACCGTGACGACCAAACCTCCCTCCGTCACTACCGTGTCCAGCAGTGTCCCAACCGAACCCTTCATGCCTGGAGTGGATACTGTCACTCCACAAATCACCACCACTATTCCTCCTGAGGTAAGGATTAGCAGCCCATTACTCTTTACAACCTAGTTTGTCATTGGTCAGATTCCCTCTAAGTGAACAAGCTTGATGTTCCTGTTTTGGGGAGAGGCATCAATATTGCTGCTTCAGTCTTATCCAATGGCATGTAAACTGTAACCTTACCAAGAGTGGCCTATTGGTCTTGTTGAATAGTAACTTTGTGTATATTGAGACTTCCGTAGTGTATTCTGAAAGTAGGGTAAGATTAAGAATGTGAATTTAGACATTACATAACAGATGTCAGTAATAATATTACAGCATGCAATTGACAATGCATTTTAGAATGTCTTACATCAATTCCTTAACTAGCATCTGCAGCATGTTTCATTTTGAAATCTTATGTTGAAATCCTGATGTTTAAACTGGTTCTAGTCTACATTTTTACAGAATATAGTCAATACCATAATGAGTAATGTTGCTGTTTTTGCCCAGTGTGTGAGGCATGGGTGGACAGACTGGATGAACGGGGACTCCCCATCTACCGGTGAGGGTGATGATGAGACCATCAATTCCCTGCGTGCATACTATCCTGTAAGTCATGTTACATTTACTACCTGCAGTCACATTCATACATGTACCAGGGCTCCAAATACTTCTCTCTGCATACCTGCACTGGTGCAGGTAACATTGAAAATTACTTGCACTAGACAAATATTACCTGTTCGGACATCATTGCAATTATTTCTTTTACTCCTCATAGGTGGTAACAGTCAAACAATGCAGCAAATAAAAATCAATACACACCTACATTTGCAATGTATATTTGAAACATTATACATGTAAGTAACTACATGGACCAGTGCAGGTTAGGTAACAGGTAGACATCAGAAATACATGTATCTGCACAGTCCAAATTTTACCTGCACTAAGATGCATACAAAAGTATGCACCCACTATTTCAAACCTACTTCACATTTCTTGATAACATGTTGATGTGAGTTCTGATTAAAAGACTTAAAGATATATCTTGAACCTTCTCCTTGCCAACTGGACAGTTACAACCTACTTGCCTGATTTGATGCATAAAGTATAATTATTCTGTTATCTCTCACAGTTCTGTGAGGCTCCCATGGCCATTGAGTGCCGCCAGGTCGGCACCAACATCATCTACACCTCCAGCCAGCCTGAGGTCGTGTGTGACCACAACGTGGGTCTGAACTGCATGAACAACCTCAACGGTGGCATGTGCCCAGACTATGAAGTCAGGTTCTACTGTGACTGCAGCAACCGTAAGTATTATCATTGACAATAAATTTTTAATCCAATTTCTTCCAGTAATGTTTATGGGTTAGCTTAGATTATGATTAAGGGTCAATTACCCACCCCAAGATGTACATTGAACTGATTGACATCATTTGAACAGAATGCGTGTTCCATTTGTGGTCACCGGAGGCCATTTATTGGTAGATGCTGATTGGTCGCTGTGTTTATGGGATTTAAACACCATGGTAAGGTTATGCTATGGCATCATAGCTAATATGAATTGGGGACTTCTGATTGGTTAACGTCATCTGGATATATAATAATGTGGACTAATCAACATTAGTGACAGATCTAACCTTTCTGTAACTATGGCAATTACAGACTGTGACCAGCCAATGAATGTTGCCGACAATGGCGCAATCAGGGACAACATGATCACAGCTTCTTCCGAGCGCCCTGATAGGCCAGCTGACGACGGTCGCCTTGACCACCCAACCAGCTCCTGGGTTCCGACCGTTCAGGACGCCAACCAGTGGATCCAAGTGGACTTGGGCGAGAAGGTCAGATGATTCTTTCAACATTCATCTTAAGGTTCCGTTCTTTGATATCATCATATTTTCCTGCATACTTTTCTTGTAGCCCTTGAGATTGAGGGTGTCTGCCAGCTTCAAAACCGTGAAAGAAACGCCAGTCCGAGAAGCTTACAAGCTTTTTTTGATATTCTACAGGTTGAGTTGACAGGCATCATCACCCAGGGACAGGAGGTTGCTGTTCAGCCTGGCTTCCCAGAGATGCCAGCCTGGGTCACCTCCTATGTTGTCCTGTACAGCACTGATGGTGTCAACTTCTTTGCTGTGCCTGACCTCCATGGTAACCCACAGGTTGGTAACACCATTTTTATTATTCATCTACTTCATATTCACCACAAAACAAGGCTCATAAGTAGCCTGGGTGCCATCCCCAGTAGGCACCTCTATAACCAGTTATAGAGCTGGCGAATATACTACTGGGGATGGCACCCAGGCTAGCTCATAAGAGCCACTCATTGACAAATGTTTTGGGTTACTGTACTAGACAGTGAGTACAGATGTTTGTTGGCCTTAGACTTGAAAAGTTTGGGAAACAATCACGTGGTAGCCTGTTCCATAGTGATGTTGTTCTAGGAAAAAAGCTTTCAGCGTGGAACTTCCTCCTAAGAGGTGGTGTATGGAGGAAGAGAGGGTGGTTTGCTTAACTGGAAGACTTTATTGGCAAAACATGTAAAAGATGTAACAGTTGCTATCAATAAATTGACCTGTTCATGACATAAACTACATATTATAAATTGCCTTTTCTAACTTGATTTTTTTTTCTTCATGCAGCAATTCCAGGGCAACTATGACAGTGACTCTCATGTGCAGCACATTTTCGCTGAACCCATCGAGGCTCAGTACATCCGTGTGCAGCCTCTGACCTGGGCCAACTTCCTCAGCTTCAGGTTTGAACTGCTGGGATGCAGGCCTTTCGGTATGTGGCATGTATTTAACATTGCTGTACTAACATAGCCCTTCAAAATGCTTGCTCAGTTTTAGTCTGATATCATGTGAAAAGTTTAAGCTCCACAAGTCAATACAGAAAGTCTTGAAAGTTACATTTGCCTGTAATGTGACCAATAAGGACATATTAAAAGACTGGAAAGTGTTTCTAACTCTAAGTTGGACCAGTGAACTTTTTCAAAGCAAGGATCAAACACATCTTAAATGTGAGAAGCTATGATTATGAAACATGTGTGTGTGCTAAATATAATGACCAAAAGTAATTATGAAATGAATAGCAGCAAAGCTGTAGGTTTCTTGGTTCTTCTACACATTCCTTCTACTAATAATTTACTACAAACTTACTTGTTTTAGGTGGAAATAAACAATAATAATAAAAAAACAATCATGGTACTTGCTGTATCAAGATGAGATGTGAGCGTAGTATCAAAGGTGATGACTATTCTTTGTTTCTTCTCCTTCCACAGGTAACATCCCAGATGGAGAGACCCAGACCACCACCCCATCTCCCACCCCGATGGAGATCTGTCCCTATGGCACACAGTTCTGGACACCCTTCATGTCTGCCCACCACCCAGACACCGCCCAGACTGGCGTACAGGAGACAGAGACATACGACCTGCTCAGCCAGGCCTACAACCTGTGTGGAAAGGACATGGTGGACAAGATCATCTGTAGAGAGGTGAGCAGAACAACGCTGTCCCTAGCTTTAATAAGAATAAAGAGAGTCTTTTTTACTCATTCAAGCAAGTGTTTTCTTCAGCCGACATTTTGGTGACTGTTTGTCACCTTCCTCCGTATCTACAACACGGTCCCAAATGTACAGCAAATTCTTGGTATTTATCAAAATATCTATGAAAATCTATGACCTAAGATATTATTGACTAAACTTTATTTAAGCAGCATTGTAATTTCAGGCAATTGCAAAAACACCACAGAACATACATGTATGTCAATAGTAATAAATTATATGAAACTCTATAACTGTGTTAAGATTTTTACACTAATATTCTTATGTTGTATTTTTTTTCCTCAGTCTGCCACCCACATGCAGGCTCAGACAGGAGGCATGGTGACCTGTGACCTGGAGAACGGCCTGGTCTGCAACAACGCCATGCAGCCCGACCACGACTGCGTGGACTATGAGGTCTCCTTCCACTGCAACTGCGGCGGTACCGGCGTGACCACCATCAACACCCCCATCACCACCCTGGCCACCGCCACCACCAAGCCCACCACCCAAGTCTTCACCACCCAGCAGGCCAACAACCCGCTGTGCGTGGACGGTTGGACGCCGTGGATCAGCACTAACGAGCCCGCGCCCGCTGACGACTTCATGGGCGGAGAGACCGAGAGCCTGGCCCTGATCGCCAGCAACCCTGACTACGCCGCCCTCCTCTGCGGCGGTGACATGAACATGATCGCTGACATCCAGTGCCGTGAGGTATGCTGAAACTTTGTACAATCATCGTCCCACGTTTTTACTACTAAATTAAATACTACTATTTCATACATAAACCTTTTGTCCTTTAGAAATGACTATCTTAAATGTAGACACCTTTTTAGAAGGCTAGGTTTTCAACTCCAAAAGAAACATTTAAAAGTTCTGTTTAGTTACATTTTACAGGATCCTCCTCAAAATATGAGCTGAAAAATACATTTTTAGAAGGCTAGGATGTCAACTGTAAAACAAATATTTGAAATAGTATTTAGTTACATTTAACAGGATCTTCCTCAAAATATGAGCTGAAATAGACAATGTATGAAAAGATAGACACATCTTTTTAAAAGGCAAGGGTTTCAACTGCAAAACAAACATTTGAAATTCTATAGTTAGCTACATTTTGCAGGATCTCCCTCAAAATATGAGTTGAAATGTCAGAATGTGTGTAAATCCGTCTTGTTGTCCACCTCCAGGTTGCCTCTCAGGCAGACTGGCAGAGTACCGGAGCCCTCGACCTGCAGTGTGACACCACCAACGGCTTCTACTGCTCCAACTCTCTCAACTACCCTGTCGGCTGTGAGGACTTCGAGATCAGTGTGCTCTGTCAATGTAAGCCATCATTTTAACTTCTGCTGCACAATTTTACAGTAAAATCAATGCCTTTAAACCATTGATTTTATTGTTGTGAAGAAATACTGCAAAATACTTGCAAAGAGTGATCTAACATAGCTTAAAAAAGGATAGATTTGTTTGCTGTCTCAAATTGATTAATGAGAAAAGGACAACTGAACTGTTTCTGAGCATCACTCTTCTTTGTTATGTAAGCAAGACTGTTTACTTACAATTCAACTTTATTGCTCAACAACTGGTACAATGTATGGCAGAGAATAAACAACAAGGGTACATGTAGATACATACTAAAATACAATGAGTTAAGCCAAAAAGTGAAGAACCATCTAGCATGTATTTAAATCTACAAATTTCTATTTTTCTAGGTGGTGAGGCTCCAACAGGTGTTATCACAGAGACCACAAAGCCACTGACCACCCAGGCACTGACCCCCACCCCCACACCAACCGAGGTCATCAGCCACGAGACCACCAATCTGCCTCAGACAACTGGTGTGGCTGGTAGTACGACAATCACTAGCGACACCACCAGTAAGTATCAAATTATATACCCAATCGTTCTTTGTCAGTTAGCCACAGTATGATAGTTTCTCCCAAGTATACATCTAGTTGTAAAACAACCTGTGCCATTTTGACTTTTAATTCACTTAGAGTGAAAAGTCTATGTTGGTACGCAACATATAAAATACAACACAGTGTATTCCAAATCACCCAATGTACCAGCTCGACCATGGAGGGAAATCCGACCAGCAGGACTGAGAGTGATGCGGCATACACCATGTTGTATTTATCTAATAGTATGTCATACCCACCTGAGAAACCCATTTAAATGTCCTTAGACAAAAAATTGTAACAACGTCAATTCCAACGTCGAACAAATCCGGTATTTGAATGTTTGAAAGCAGCCCAAACTCAATATCAAAAGTTGGTAATAAAAGTACAAGTTGATCATTTCTTCCACTGATCACAACTCTGCTCCTTTCCCAGCTGGCTCTACCACCCTCCCAGTGTACAACGATGACTGCCCAGAGGGCACCATCTACTGGACACCATTCTACAACTCCGATACACCCACCACTGGTACCGATGGTGGAGACCACGAGACCTACCAGAGCATCGTGCAGGCTTACGGAGATGAGCTGAGGATCTGTGACGAAGCTATGATTGACAAAGTCCTGTGTCGTCATGTAAGTTGTGATAGGGTCTACCTTTATCTCCATCTTTAACAGCATCTAGTTTCATATTTCAGCATCTCTGGCAGTCTTCTAGGGGAAGTCTACAGTTTCAGGGGCCTGTACTTTCTACCAAATAAAGGCAACTTCCCACCACGACAGCTTTTAAAAACGGACTGAAATAGGACTTGTATTCTGATTTATTCTATGTAAAATAGGTATTAAATGAAATGAAATATGTAGCCCAGATATTTTTACAGTAACTGACCCTGAACGTTTGTCCTCACCCTCAGGCCGACTCCCACCTGCTGACCATCATGACCAATGACGAGCACGTGGAGTGTGACCTCCAGAACGGCCTGGTCTGCCTCAACTCCATGCAGTCCGACGGGATGTGCGAGAACTACGAGATCTCCTTCCGCTGTAACTGCGCGCCTGCCACAACCATCGCTACCGTCGGCACCACCACCACCCCCATCGCCACCACCGGCGTCATCGGCACGGTCAGCCCGCTGACCACTCTGTCCCACCTCACGTCCACACCGCAGACCACTCACGGCGTCATGACCGAGACTCCCGGGACTGAGACAACCACCCAGCAGGTCATCATTGACACCACCACCACTGCACCCACGTACACAGACATCATCACTGGTGAGACCACAACCAAGCCACTCATGACAACTGGCTCCATCACCGAGACCACTGCATCTACAACCATTGGTTTCGAGACAACCAAGCCACCCATGTCTACTGGTGTTGTGACCTCAGTGAGCACTACCAAGCCAACAATGTCTACCGGCATTGAAACTACAGCTCAGACCCCCACCACCACCAGCCAGACACCGACTGTTGTTGTTGAGGAGACCACAACCAAGCCACTGATGACAACTGGCTCCATCACCGAGACCACTGCGTCTACAACCATTGGTATCGAGACAACCAAGCCACCCATGTCTACTGGTGTTGTGACCTCAGTGAGCACTACCAAGCCAACAATGTCTACCGGCATTGAAACCACTGCTTCAACAACAACAACCACACTTAAGCCCACCACTGTCCAGACTACAACTAAGCCGGAGAACCCAGCTTGTAAGTGGACACATTCCAGAGACAATGATGAAAATTTTATCTTTTTGATATTTTGTCTGACCCTCACCTCTTCCCTCACGACCTCAGTGAAAAGCTGCCCAATGGCCAATTTGAGCTTCTCATGAATAAAGATTGGTTCAAACAAACAAACAAACAAACAAAAAATCTATTGATAATATCCTGTTCCCTTTATAAATACTGGGGACATTGTGGTACATTGTACGTGTGGTTATATCTATTTTTTGGGTTGATGTAAATGAGAACTACATTGTAATTACAATTTGTTACCACAGACTGTGTGGATGGCTGGACTCCATTCATGAACAGCTACAGTCCCGACAACATCGGTGACATTGAGACCTACAGCAACCTCAGGGAAATCTACGAGTTCTGTCCAGTCGAGATGATTGACGACATCGACTGCCGCGTCGCAGGTAAGCCAACCGTGGACTTCCCTACAATTAATACAGACATTCTTTGTTTTCGTGACATGCAGTTCACCTAATTTCATTTTTTTTTAAATTCTATTTCAACATGTAACAACAAGACATGGGGACGGCACACTCAAGTTTTTTCAACTTTTTCTTATGCTACCACCAACACATAGGACAATACATGTACATTACTCATTTTCACCTTAGTGCAGTGAGGAAAGACGTGTTAAGTGCCTTTTCAAAGGGCACAAGATATGTAGCATGGCAGGGTTCAAACCCAGGACCTCTTGGTTATGAGACAAGCAGTCAAATCAGATAATTACAGTTACATTCCACATATTATAACAATTTGTGCCAAAACAGTTTGGCATTTTCCATGTCAAATCAAACTGTTTTGTCTGATTTCGTTTCATTTTAATTTTGTACAGGCTTTAACATGGACTACGCTCTTGTGGGACAGAATGGCGTTATGTGTAACGAGAACATCGGTTTCATCTGTGACTCCTCTCAGCAGGACGGCACATGTATGGACTATGAGATCAGGGTGCACTGCAGATGCTCTGGTAAGATCGCATCATCCATCTACATGTACTTTAGGCTTGCTTACCAGTACTGTGTACCTGTTCTGTAAATTCTGATTAGGTACAGGTCCGAAATACTGAATCACTAAGTACCAATACTGATACATACTGATATCAACAGGTCTGGTACCAAAACTTTTGTACCGGCACCTGTACCTGATGTTATGTTTAGCCCTAATCTACAGTATGTACATCATACTCACAAAGGAAGCAAACATTTTGTCAGATGTGCACTGTGGGATGTTCAAAAGCAAAATTGTATTCCACATAACGTTGTCTTCATTTTCAATAATTTGTCATAATTCATCAGTCATGTTTACATTTTTCAATTGTTAAGAGAAATTTTTGAAAACTTACGTAATAAAGTATTAGAAGTTTTCTTGTTCAAATGATATACTTAAACCTAGTCCTATTTCCAACTCACTTACTTGATTTTTGCTTCTTGCCCTTACAGAGGAGCCAACGACAACAACAACCCCTGGTACCGTCATTGTCAGTACCACTGGTCAGATCACCCTTACTGGTGTGGTAAGTACCACTGTGACTACCACACTTCCTGATGTAATGATTTGTCACCAGTAGTTACCACCATGAACACGGTACTTTTATATGTTTAGTACGGTTTTCCTGGTCTCATCTGTACCGCAAACTTTATCATTACAAACAAAAATTGTTTTTATTGTCTTTAGTAATGAGTTGTAACATTATTTGTCTATATCTCAGGTTACTGAGCCTCAGACTGAGCCTACAACCATCCAGGTGGACACCACCACCAAGCCTGAGGAGACCACCACAACTAAGCCAGTTGAGGAGACAACTCCTCAGGTAGGTACAATGTTATCTTGGAAGAATCGTTTGCACTTTGTTAAACTCTAGATGATCTTGAAATTGCTCATAGTCCTTTCAATGTTCAGAATTAAAACTTCTTTTTTCGTGACTGGATATTGACTCAACAAAGAGCTATAGAGTGTACACCAAGCAATATGTTTAGTAAGATAAGAAATCTAAAAGATATAACAACAGAAGCCAAATGTATCACACCTGGGATAAACCATTATGATGAATCTTTTTCTCAATTTAATTTTTTTGGTAAAATGAAACTCACAGAATTATCACTCAAAATAGCTTACACATATACATTTGTACATGTACTAATCCACTGGACATACACAAGGAGGAAGGACATCAACAATAATAATGATAAAAATATTGAATCAACACAATGACTACAGATGGATAGCTTGGTGAAGAAATGAATTTCTGAGTCTATTTTCTCCTACAGACCACCACTGTGAGCACCCTGGCTCCTGCCTACTGTCCACCTGGCTCCTCCGCATGGACACCCTTCATGTCTGCCGACAGCCCCATCGACGGAAACGACATTGAGACGATCGACGCCCTGCGTGAGAAGTACTCCTTCTGCGAGGACTACATGATCACCAACATCGTCTGCCGTCGTGAGGGAGACCACATCACAGCTGACATGGTACTGATCAACAACATCAAACCTCTATACAATTATAACAAACTCACCAGGTTTTGCATTTAATGTTTCATGACTCATTATGCAATTTTTTATTGAGTCTGTTTTATGATTCTAATTGACGCTGGATTGTGTATAAAAATCTTGCTTCAAGAAAAGACTTGCACTTGATGCAAGCACGTTTAACCCAAAGTTTTGGGGAAAAAAGACCTTAAACTTGGATAGAAAAAAAATTGTGTATTTATCGTTACTATTGTTTTTCGTTTATTGAGGACTGGGGCCTGGTGATCATGAACCATGAAAACATGTTAGCCATTGCCAATTTCTTGGCAGATGGACATTACCGGAATAAAGAAAGAAAAACTTCTGCCTGTCTCTATATCAAAATATAAATATTCAATGTTAAATGACGTGTGTGTTGTTTTTTTTTCAGACCAGCCAGAATGTGCTGTGCCACCCCCAGATGGGTCTGACTTGCTATTCTGCTGACAACAACGGCCAGAACTGTTACAACTTTGAGGTGTCCTTCTTCTGTGACTGCAACTGTAAGTATCCTGCTACCTCTGTCAACTTCAAGGCTTTCTGTCAATGGAATTTTTCACCTAATGATAACATTGTTTTGTGGGTATTGATACACAAATACTTGGTCATTGTGAGGCATTCAATGCATGAGATCCATTCAACAATAAAATTTTTGTACATCCAACAAGTGAAAATTGCTTTATCTTCATTTTGGGTAATTGTGGAATATGTTAGAGGGGTATATGAAGTAGATTCACTGTGCTCATTTAAGATTTTTCACAATGATGGGAATTATATTCTAACTGTGTTGGTTTCGGAACATTACAGTGCTCACAACAACAACACCACGGCCGGTGACTGCTACACAGGTGCTTACCACCACCAAGCCTATCACTGCTACCCAGGCTACTACAACAACCAAGCCTATCATGACCACCCAGGCTACAACCACCCAGGCCACTACAGCTACCACCAAGCCAACCACCATCCAGACCGTGTCTTATCCTGAGACTGAGACAACCACCAGTGTTGTTGGTACAACCACCATCGCTGGCACCACCAAGCCAACAACCCTCCAGACAGGCACTGTCCCTGGTACTGAGACACCATTCACTACCATTGGCGGTACCACCAAGCCAACCACCATCCAGACAGGTACTGTCCCTGGTACTGAGGGTACAACAACTACCATCGGTACCGTGACTGGCTCTGAGACAACCACCATTGCTGGTACCACCAAGCCTACCACCATCCAGACAGGCACTGTCCCTGGTACTGAGACACCATTCACTACCATTGGCGGTACCACCAAGCCAACCACCATCCAGACAGGTACTGTCCCTGGTACTGAGGGTACAACCACCACCATCGGTACCGTGACTGGCTCTGAGACAACCACCCATGCTGTCGAGCCAACCACCTCTATCGGCACCATCTCCGTTCCTACCTCTCAGACCACCACCATTGCTGGTACCACCAAGCCAACCACCATCCCAACAGGAACTGTCCCTGGTACTGAGGGTACAACAACCACCATTGGTTCAGTGACGACTAAGCCTACAACGCAGGTAAACTTTTAGTCCTGATTTTTTTTTCCTGTGTCCTTGGTTTAGTTCATTCCTGAAAAAACTAGCGTTGGTAGAAATTATCTTTTTTTTACGTTTAATTTTTTTAAGCTAAAATCATGCAACAAATAAAGTTTAGCAATGCATCAGGACTGTCTCAAGGACCTGTTCAAACAATTTCACCGGATTTACTGATTGCAGAAGAAGAAATTGCTTCAGAATCTGAAAAGTGTTAAATGACATTTCAGACATCAAAGGATTTGAAATTCAGATGTCAGATAGAACATGGTCGATCAAAGAAAAGCTTGGGCCACTGGTCGAATGGGTCGGGAAACCTGAAACAATATTTTTTCTAGGCCTTAGCCCCAAATTGAGAACACTGCATGCCTCTAAATATACTGTATATTTTTCCCTAGACGATGCAGACAGCTCCACAGATCGCCTGCATCCAGCACGGTTGGTCTGACTGGATGAACGTGGACCGTCCCAACAACGGTAACAACGCTGGTGACATCGAGTCCATCGATGAGCTGAGGAAGTACTACACCTTCTGTGCCAACCCAACCTCCATCAAGTGTAGGGAGGTGGGCACCAACACACAGTACGAGTAAGTATCAGTCTCTGTTGCTTCAATGCTCTATTTCACATTCCTTCAACATTATAGTACATTATAGCTTTCACAATCTAATTTTCATTAATGATAGATGTGATTGCAGGGAAAAGATTGCGGGGAAAAGAAAGTCTTCATACATGCATCTATTAAGAAAACAATTATACAACTTACTTCATTCAGATATTGATTCGAGAAGCGATTAATCATAATGACCAAATGTTATGATTATCAGAATTTTCACTAATAGTATCCAGTCTTTGATTATACTGCTGTGGGAGTGCCTGCAACTACAATTCTGGGAATTTTTGAAGACCATATTTTTCATGAAAATTACTATCAGTCAGAGAAAGGCCAATCTTTCCATTCAAGCTATTGCCACTCTATTTTCAGTACACACTTCTATCAATTCTGCTGTCCTATACAAACTTAGATATTATACACTATAATTTAAGGTGCTTTGACCAAGCCATTAACATGGTGTTTGTTTTTCCTCCAGTGCCACTGGTGATGGTGGTAATGTCTGTAACCTGGTGACTGGCTTCCAGTGCACCAACGACTTCCAGTGGGATGCCATGTGCTCTGACTACGAAGTCAGCGTCTACTGTGACTGCCAGCGTAAGTCAACTCACTTTACCTTATTACATTTCAATAGATTGTGAAGACTAAAGTTTATCTTCAACACTGATATGAATTGGGACTTTTTTTTTCAAATTTTCAGCTGATTCTGTCACCCTTGTTCACGGAATGAACCCATCTACTCTTGGAATGTGGCGTCAGAAACATGTGACCATACTACGGCATAGTAGCGGGTCATACATGCCAGATAACTTTTGTCGCCCTACCCCTACTACAAAAATATAGAGTCACATTTAAATAGATGCACTGCATCATCATTTTTCATTAGAACTTAGCCTATACACTTAGTATTTTACAGTTGGAACTATTAATCACAAAATACACATACTATAGGTTATTCAAAACTTCCTAGAGACTTATCATTGATGTTATATTTTCTACAGCGGTAACCACTATCCAGACCCTGTCTACCTCACAGACCTTCACCACAGGTAAGCCACATTGAAAAATAACATATTTTCCAGTGAAAACACTTAGAAATATCTGGGGTCCTTTGATGTGATGAAATTGCAAGAAGCCTTTTCATCTACAGTATATAAACTTGATGTCTTGAACACTGGATTTCTTCAAAGAAACAACTAAAGATATAATGACTGTCATTGTGACTAAGATCTGTCTAAACATTCCATTAGAAAATCAAACTAAGACTTGTGCTTTTTTTCCCTTAGCCTCTCAGCCACCTGTTGTCACAACAACTCAGACCCAGAAGCCCACAACACAGCAGCCCACAACTGGTAGGAATTTTTCTACTCCTTTTTCACAGGGCTAGGACAAAAAAGACGTAAATCAAAATATTTACCGATATCATCAAAAGTTGACATGTCATTGCTTCTTTTATCATTTAATGGATGTAATCTAATATATACTTTCCCTCAAAGAGGAAAAGCCCTTGGATACAGGAGTTTTTTACTCACCTAAGTGCTGGCGTTTTGGTGTCTATCAGACACCTTCCTCAGAGCTTAGGTGAGAAATTTTGGTTGTGTAAAAGAAAACTCCTGTATCCTATACTTTACCAACCTGATGAAACTATTTTCGGGAGGAAAAGCCCTTGTTCTGAATGTTCCTCTGCCCCCATCCCCTTCTCCAGTCCAACAGAACCCAGACCTGTGCGTGGATGGCTGGACTCCGTGGATGAGCTCTGACGAGCCCGGTAACCCCACCGACACCACAGAGGGAGATGAGGAGACCTTCCCCAGCCTGGTCGCTGCCGGGTACAACATCTGTGGTGGCAACCAGAACATGGTCACCTCCATTGAGTGTCGCGAGGTAAAACTTGTTTTCTACTAATAGTGTCATTTAGTGACATGTATATTTACATGACAGTATTACTCAAAAATGAAATCTAAGTTTCCAACCTCCTTGTTGAGTTTCACGACTTTCTCAAAGTGGTTGCCGCCAAACCGTGCAAGTCTTCGTGGCAAGAATCTTAGGTCTAAAGACCAGATAACGCAGTTCAAAATTAATGTAGAACCGCTAAATATCAAAATAGTGCACACTGTAACTTAGTGTAAGGTTTGTAATTTTTAATTTATATCTTTTTATCTTGAGACGAAGAGCCCACGAAGACGTCTTAATCGTTTTGAGTTTATTCATAATTGTAAGATGTACTTCATTTCAACTGGTGAAGGCTGCTAATATATTCATTCAATCTCTGATGAAAGAATGTTCAAAAACATGAAACTAACTTTGTTAAGCAGTGAATAATTAGAAACATTAAAAACATTATTTTAATTCCACGTATTTCTATTGCTGCAGATTGCTACTGGTGCTGACTGGCAGAGCTCAGGTGCCTTCGGCATGCGCTGTGACCTGTACAACTGGTTCTACTGCCGCAACGCATTCAACTACCCCGTGGGATGCGAGGACTACGAAATCAGGGTGTACTGTCAATGTAAGTACCGACATTGACAATTTTTTTAAACATGTTGTCACTTAATCATCATTCTGTTGTGTGCCGGTGAAGGTTAGACATTGCATCAATCAATAATTATTGTTCGTGTTTATAAACCTGCTGATTATGAAATCTCTCCAGTGTAACTGATGAAAAAGGTAGTGGATGCTACCTGAAATGTCTGACCATTTCCAAAATCATATCCAGTTGCTGAACTGTTTTTTGTTGCAATTTTATGTGGCTTAAAAACTGTATTTTGTTCCTGTAGTGGATGCTACTGACAGTTTTCAAAATCTATCCAGTTGCTAGAGTAACAATTTCTTTGTGTATTTTTTCCACTAAAAAGGGGAACTATTTGTAGCTTGAAATAAATATAATACATGTAATTTCACTAAAGCTTAATTATGGTCTTTTAGCTGTATTTATATTATTAATACTGAATTTGTTATCTAAATATCGACTTAATTGAATATGTTTGCCATCATCATGACTGGTTTGTTTTGTTTGATATTCATGTACTACAGGTAGCGGGACTACCACCATTTCTACCACCACTACCAAGCCCCTCATTGAAACAGAGAGCACCACCACTAAGCCTGTTGTCTCTACAACTATTGGTATTCAGACCACACCTCAGACCTCACCAGTTACAACAAGTATGTCACCACTCATCTGCTTGTCATTTGTTGCTTTTGAGTAGTATTTATAATCTAGGGAAGGTAAGACAACAACGTGAAATGCTTTAGATTTCAGCCTTTAAAACTACACCTCCATGCCTGTAAAAAGCTTTGTGTAATACTATGATTTTATAGTGTATACATACTGTGCATTTTGTAGTTTTACATCATGAATTAATGAAGCAGAACCAGCTGCACTGTCCTGATTCAGAAGTTCAAAACAGATATTTTTGACTTAGAAATTGAAGTTCTGGTACTCAATCCCAGTATGTTGAATTTCATGACATTGACATTCATTTAAGCTGTGCATTTTTTCAAGTTTTACTTCATGAAAATAAAGCATGCCATGTTGAAGTTCAATCACACTATGACATATTGTCATTAATACTTTTCTGTGACTCGTAGCTGCTGGAGTTTCCACCTTTGCTCCCGTCTGTACTGATGAGATGCACGGCTGGACTCCATGGATGAACTCCTTCTACCCCAACCCTGCCACCGGAGGCGACTTCGAGACCTTCGACAACCTGAGGGAGCAGTTTGCGTTCTGCGCCAATGAGGACATCATCAGCATCGAGTGAGTACTGCAGCAAAGAGTGAACTAACTGATTCAATCTATTCTCTCCAGTAGGGAAAACTGTACACTCATTAAACAAGAAATTCATTTTGTTTTCTCTTGAATGTGTTGCTAACATTGAATGTGAACTTTGTTTAGCGTTTTCATCTTTGTTTTGATTTTTCATTCAAGTTTTCATTCAAGTTCCTGCAAAGTTCAACGCTCCACTCCTTGGTATCACAAAACTGTTAATTTTCCTTGTCTAGGTGCCGTGACTCTGCCACTGGGCTGCCATTTGACCAGACCGGCCAGAATGGCGTGAAGTGTGACATCAACAGCGGTCTGCAGTGTCTGAACACTCAGCAGTTCCCCATCCCAGCCTGCGCTGACTACGAGATCAGGGTCTACTGTCTCTGCAGGGGTAGGGCACCGCAGATACTACCATTACATCAGTATAATAAGCCAGAAAATCTAAACATTCATCATGGTCAGCAAATGTTAAAAAGAGCATAACATGTGCCAAAAACAAAATATCAGCATTCTTTAAATTTAAGAGGACAGTAGAGTTGCATGTACTTGAAATGGGCACGACATTTGTTCTCAAATGTAGTACATGTATAACGTTGTATATAATATATTTCTCTAATTTGCCTGTCTCTACAAGGTTTATAAAAGCATTCACTAGCAACTTAACCTTGTTACAACAAAACAAAGTGACATAGTTGCCAACAATGTAATACTGAGTTTGTTATAAACTTGCTCATCCTTCTTATTGTAATGATTTCCAGAGGAGACAACTGTTGTCACTCCTATCATCCTGACCACCACCACTGCCCAGGTGACCACAACCAAGCCAGTTACCACCAAGCCGGTCACTGAGACCAGCCACTTTACTACATCTCAGACAACTACGACCATTGGTGTTGTGGACACAACAACCAAGCCAGTCACTGAGACCAGCCAGTTCACTACATCTCAGACAAGCACAACCATCAGTGTTGTGGACACAACAACCAAGCCTGTCACCACCAAGCCAGTCACTGAGACCAGCCAGTTCACCACTTCTCAGACCACTACAACCATTGGTGTTGAGGAGACTAGCCAGCACTCACCACGTAAGCCGGTGACACAGACCAGTGAGTTCACCACCCAGGGAACCACCACAACCATTGGTGTGGTTGAGACCACAACTAAGCCAGTCACTGCCACCGGCGTGGTCACCGAACCCACTCCAGGCACCACCACTCAGGTGGTTGTCACTGAGCCAACCACGCTGAAGCCTACCACCGCCACGGCTACTACCACCGTGCCAGAGAACCCAACCACCACCAAGCCCATCACAACTGCCGAAACAACCGTTGTCACTGGTACAACCACCATCGCAGGTGAAGTGGTCACAACCACCCTGCCCATTGGTGAAGTGACCACTGGTACAACCACCCAGCAGTTCACCACCACCACCAAGCCAGGCTCCACCACCAAGCCAGTCATAACCACCCAGGTTGTCACCGAGCCAATCACTGGCACCACCATGACCACCAGTTCCCAGGTCTTCACTACACAGTCTGTGCCTGAGGAGACCACCACACTGGAGGCCACCACCACAAAGCCCATCACCCAGGTAAACTTTTAACTTCTTCGTGAATTCCATTCTTAAGTGCAAAGGGGATTTAAAGAAGTTTTTATGTATGCAACAGCAACAGAGTACGAAGCCAGTTGATTAAATGAAAAGGCATTGATGTTGAAAACAAGCATCAGATACTATCGTTACTCCTCCCCGTCATGCGACTGCAAGTCAGAGTCAATACTTATGAAGATGCACCAAGTATAACGATTCTTTTTATATTTCCACAGACCTTTGCCACAATCACCACCCCAGCACCCACCTTCGCTCCTCAGTGTCTGCAGGATGGCTACACACCGTGGTTCAACCTGGACAAGCCAAACGAGGTCAGTAACTGCTTTTTTAAATAAATTTCTGCACCCGTTTCCTTTATGGTTTGCTTCCTTGTTCACAAGACATGATTGTTTCTTTGTTATCGAATGCTACTCTAGTTATATCCGTAAATAATTTCATAAGGTTTCAGACTTCAGAGTGATTTAATTCACATTTATTCACCATTTTGTTTAACACGAGCCACTGTTTCGATGACCGTCTATGTGATCACATATATCTATTGAGTATTAGGCAAGAAGCACATACATATATAAATTTGGTTGTCGTATTTCAGTCTCCGGATGACATTGGTGACATCGAGACCCTGGACCAGATCCGCGAGCAGTTCATCTTCTGCGATGACGACATGATCACCAAGGTGGAGTGTCAGATGACCATGGGTAACGGCCAGGGCATCTCGTCCCAGAACACCGGCCAGCTGGTCACCTGTGACATCACCAACGGCCTGACCTGTCTCAACGCTGCCAACCAGCCAACCGGCTGCTACGACTACGAGATCCGCTTCTACTGTCTGTGCAGCGGTAAGAAAATGCTTCTTCTGTCATTCTGTCATCTTCTCTTTTTTATTCATCTTTTTATTCATCTATTTTTATTTGCACTTGTATAAAAACAGAATACAGAAAATAAATTACCAATACGTCTTTAAAAGAACAGAATACATATCATAGATAAATAAATAACTTAAACAATGGAAATTTGTCAAGGGTGGAAAAAAGCCATCAGGATTATTCGAGTTCCCCCCCATTCTGTCATAATATATTATTATTGAAATTTCACGTTCTGTCATAATCATTTTCATGTTTATCGGATATTTGAGTTTCTTGTACACAACAACATGATTTTTTAATGCCAAAGTTTTGCTACATTTCTTGGGCTTGCAATGACTGAGAATACTTCACAGACTTTTGTTTTAAAACTCATAATCAACACTTTTTTTTACATGTTAGGCACCACTCCACTTGTTGAGACCACAACTGCCCAAACCACCGCAAGTCAGACCACGATTGGCCAGACCACCACCGGTCAGACCACACCCAAGCCAGTCTCTACCACCACCATTGGTGAGGTGACATCCGTCGAGACAACACCACTCACCACCGCCGTGACCCTGCCACCTCTCTGTCTGGAGAACGTGGCCTACTGGACACCCTACATGAACATGGACCGTCCCAACACCAACAACAACGGAGGTGACATCGAAACTCTGGAGGCACTGCGCCAGTAGTAAGTTATCTGTCATACATATCCGGGCTTTGATTATACTGCTGTCACTCCTGTGAATTTGGCTCTGTTTAAGTGGCACAAAGATATGAAATAGTGTCAAATTTCCCTCAAATTCATTTCAATTTGTACGATATAAAAGTAGACATAACCAAAATCTGGTCCTGAACAAATTCGGGGGAAGGTCTTGAATGTGTGACATTGGCTATACTTAACGTATTTCCCGCTATCTTTTGCCCCACAGCTACAGCATCTGTCCTACAGAGATGATCGATGATGTGGAGTGCCTGGAGGCTGCCACCATGTCTGCTCCTAACCAGGGCAGTGCCGTCATGTGCAGCCCCACTCTGGGTCTCATCTGTCTCAACTCCATGGTGCCCAACAGTGACTGCGAGGACTATGTGGTCAGGTTCCACTGTGCCTGTGGACCAGGTTAGAATCAAATTACAGTTATTATGTCTAGTCTTTCATAACACAAACACCAATTTAGTGGGCTATACCACTATAGCTATAGTGTTTACATTGCAGTTGGAAAGACTTGAAAAATGGTACTTACTGCTTTTTTATCAGTTCAGCACTCTGGAAATAATATAATATATTTGAGCTGAACACACTCCACTGGACTAGCAACCTGCTGTAGTGGCCTGTTGGGTGTAGAAACAGAGATGGGAACTGCCTCAGTGCACGATGTTACAGACACACGACTTGTGACACTTGTAACTCTCGTTCAATAAAAGACAAAGATTCTTAAAGCTCCAGCAAAATGGTGTTAGCTTGCTATACCCAGAAATCTGTATTAATATATACTTTCCTTACCTTGGTTTAGATTTCTTGCATTTATTTATCACCTTTTATGTTTGTACATACACAGAGACTACCACAGCAACACAGACCACAGCCCAGACCACCACCAAGCCAGAAGGTACAACCACCACCATCAAGCCTGGCACTCTCACCCCAACTCTTGAGACCACCACTCTCCACCCTGTGACCACCACCTTCGGTGAGGTCACACCAACAGAAGAGGTCGTCACCTTCACAACCACCACCTCTGGGGAGCCGTCTACCACCATCGCTGTCACCAGTCCGACTACAACCAAGCCAACCCCTGGTGTGGTGACTGAGCAGACAACCACAACTGGTTTTGTTACTCAGACCAGCGTTGTGACTGAGAAGCCCACACCCACTACCACAACTGGTACAACCACCACCCAGACTAAGCCACCAACCACTCCTGTCCAGACCACTACTCCAAACAACGAGCCATGCAGGGTATGTTTTTGCTTCCATTTCCTTGGTAAAATACGAACAAGGTACATTGTAAACTGTCTTTATGTAAAATGCAACTTCTCTGTCAACATACTTCATAACTAGTTTATATTTCAACTGACAGTGTGTCAACATAGAAATATTGTGCAAAATTTAGATTTTTTGTGATCTGCTTTGAAAATCACATATTCTATATCTTGACATAATATCTTTTTTCAGGAGCCTATGGGTCTGGAGAATGGCCTGATCAAGCCAGACCAGATCACTGCCTCCTCTCATCTGGATGACCAGCACAGGCCTGAGGATGTTGTTCTGAACAACCCAACTGGTGCCTGGAGGCCAGTCACCAACGACCAGACTCAGTATCTCCAGGTATGGACAACTAAAATTGCAACTGTAGGGTTGTGTGGCGTAACCATAGAGTGTTTGACACAGGTTCAAATCCTGCCATGTCATGCAGGAGGAATAGTGTGAATTCGTACACTAATGAACATCCTAACCAGCCAAGCAAACCAAACCAATTTTCATAAACCAAATTGACTGGATATTCAGTTCTGATCTCAGAACACAGCATAAGTTATATGACTCTGCACCTCTTATTTCATCTGAATTTCAAGCTTTTATTCAGAAAATGTTTGCAATAAGACTTATTTATCATATTTATTCTCAAACTTTCAGGTTGATCTTGGAGAGCTGACCCATGTGACAGGCTTCATCACCCAGGGTGAGCCTGAAACCACCAACTACGTCACCACCTACTACATCACCTTCAGCACTGATGGTGTCAACTTTGTGCCATACACTGATGATGGCAAGGTTGTGGTAAGTACAATTCAAACTTATGTCTATTAGAAGTGTGAAAATTCTTATACAACCATGCACAGAACACTGATCTTGTGCTATTGGTCTGCTTTGACAACTTACATGTATGAGAAGACATGCTTGACATACAATGTAGCACTATTTAAGTCAAGAACTTAAAGACAAATATAGAAAAATATTATGTCATAAGAATAACATTCTTGATACAACTGTACAAAGAATGTATATCAGTCTGGTCTACAAGATATGTTTAGTAACAATTGTTGAAGTTTATCTTCTTTATTTTCTAGACTTTCCCTGCCAACACCGACAGCACCACCCCAGTCACCAACCTGCTGGACCTGAGCCGACCAATCACAGCTCAGTACATCCAGATCCACCCAGTGACCTGGAACGACAACATCGCCCTGCAGGCTGAGATCCTCGGCTGTGGAGGTGAGAACCGCTCTCTCTCTCGGACTCTGAAATTAAAATGCAGACTTTTTTCCCTTCTATTCTGGCCATAATAATGTCATCCAACAGTTACAGCTGTTCGCATGATTGAGTAACTTCTGTCTTATTCTACAGTGACTCCAACAACTACAGTTTCCAGCACAGAGACCACTCCTGGTACCACTGTCATCAGCACCACCCTCAGCACACCTGTGGCTACCACCCTGGGTACCACTATCCAGACCACCCAGATGCCATCCACTATTCTGGTCACTGAGCCAACTGGTACAACCACCACTGGTGTCGTCACTGAGCCAACTGGTACCACCACCATTGGAGTTGGTGAGACCACCAAGCCAACCACCTTGGCCACGGTCACACAGACCCAGCCTGAGACCACCACTCAGACTGGCACCACCAAGCCAACTCCAACACAGACCATCCAGGTCACAGACACAACCGGTACAACCGTTACAGGTGTTGTCACTGTCACTGAGCCAACTGGTCAGACCACCACTGGTGTCGTCACCCAGACTCAAGTGGTGACCGTCACCTCCTCCCAGCCTGTGACCTTCACTGATGTTGTCACACAGACGACCAAGCCTGAGGTCATCACCACCACCCTGGCCACCACCAAGCCAACTCAGACCCAGACCATGGTCACCGACACAACATCTGGTATCACCACCACTGGCACAGTTACTGCACCAGTCCAGACAACCACTATTGGCACAACCCCTACCACCAAGCCACAGACCACTCTGGTTACTGGCACAACTGAGGGCACCACCACCACTGGTTTTGTCACCGGTACTGCCACCACCAAGCCAACACCAGTGACCACCCTTATCACTGGCACAACCGGCACTACCACCACTGGTGTTGTCATCGACACCACAACTATCAAGCCAACTGAGCCACAGACCACTCTTGTCACAGGCACCACTCTTGGCACCACCACCACCACTGCCAAGCCCACTACTCCTGTGCAGACCACAACTGCAGCTCACAATGAGCCTTGCACAGAGCCTTTGGGCATGGAGGGCGGGCAGATCAAGCCAGACCAGATCACTGCCTCCTCTCAGCTGGATGACCAGCACAGTCCTGATGAGGGAACCCTCAATGGCCCAAGTGCCTGGAAGCCTGATGACACTGATGTCAACCCGTCTATCACGGTAAGGCTTGCTTTTGGGCTTACCACAGAATAAACCTTTTGGAATTATTGAAATTTTGAGTTGATTTGATGCTAAGCTCAACAGTAAACCTACAATGTATCTGTCCTTCCATCCAGGTTGACCTGCTTGAGCCAACCCACGTGACTGGCTTCATCACCCAGGGCAAGCCTGAGACCAATGAGTTTGTCACCACCTACACTGTCTACTACAGCAACGATGGTGTCAACTTTGTGCCATACACTGATGAGTTCAACAAGCCTGTGGTACGTTGACATACATGTAGAGGCTAATGTGTTGTATCTTTTTACCATACATTTTATTTATTTTATTCACGTTTATTTTCCGAGGATGAGGCAAAAAGTTATAAAACTTATCTCAGCCCTCTCCTCACACATAAACGGAAACAATAAAACAAAGTAATAATAATAATAAGAAGAAGAAATGACAAGGGTACATAATGAGCTGGTGTATAAAATGAATCAACTAAATCAAACAAAACGTCCTGTCTGCAAAATAAAGTTGAAAACCACATCGAATATTTTACAGTGGTTGACAAACGACAATGAGGGGTTACCCCTGAGAATGGTTGAACATAAAGTGTTGTCGGTGACGTTGTTTGTGTCAAATGGCAGAATGTTAGTTAGAGATAATAACATGTCAATACGTTCGTCAGTGTACAGTGGGCAGTGTAGGAAGTAGTGTACAGCTGTTTCGTTGGAATGACCACATTTGCACGCAGGACTGGGCAC